CCTAGAACATGGCACAGAACATGAGGATTCATGGAATCTGTCGCGGTCTCTAACTCCCAGCGAGCCACCGGAACAAAGGTTCTGGCTTTCAGTTTCGGGAAAACAGTATTCAAAATACGAATAGTAGTAGCAATAGCACTAGTAGTAGTTATAGTAACAGTTAGAGTAGTTAGTAGTTAGTAATGCTAACCGTAATTTTGTAGCAACAGCAATAGTGATAGTAGCAGTAACAGTACTAGTCCTGGTTTGCGTTCAAGCCTTTAAAGGATTGGGTTTTGAACGAGACCATGATGCATGTAGACCCGCAATGCAACCCTGAACTAGAAACTACTGCATATCGTATCAGGCTCATATATGACCCGACCATCCGAACTCCACAAAGCATTCAATTGCCCCCCCCAACACATACATACAGAATCCCACAAGAGTGCCTGACGTGACAAAGCCAAAACCCAACCAATATAGGAGACTTGTACTTAGAACAGTTTTTTCGGGTGTGATTATACTTTCCTTATGCGAGAAGCTAATTCGTCTTTATTCATCGCACCCCTATCTTTCGACCACAAGATCCAGGGAAACCTAGACCCTCTGAGTTCCCGGAACCCTAAATTCCATCAGTCGGCCGAAGAATCAATACCATAGAACGGTCAGTACTATCAGTATTACTGTTATTGCAGTTGCTACGATTACTATAAGACTTAATAACGTTGCTAATAAAATTATCATTGTTATTGCTGCTGCTACTAACCATTACTATTGTTTTGCCATCTGGCGTTATTAATGTTGATATTGTTGCTATGACCATGGTGTATTTCGCCAATACAGCGCAAACAACACAGCTTATGCAACACACTGCAACCCGAAGACCCTAACTCCCTAAATCCTAGATCCCAAAGCATATGGTGCTAAAGCGCCAAGCTTTCTAATGCCTCGACTAAACGAAACAAACAACAACTACGACCCAACAACACAGGCAAACACAACAGCAACAAAGAACACTTCGCAACGATTCGAAGAATAGCCCTCCACTAAACCCTAAACTGCAACTCCCTACAAACCAGAACACTAACATAGGGGCCTCAATAATTGCCTGTAATATCTTGGGGGTTCCTTACTATGATTATAGTAGAATACACTCTAAAACCCTATTCTAACTATTTAGGGCCCTTCATTATCCCACTCTCTTCGCCGGGTATCTTTGAGGAGGCGCTCTCCCAGTCGACGTTCTGCACGCACCTGAACATCTAAGGGGCTTTCGCGTCCCGTCGTTTTGACTTTGATCGAGGGTTGCTTAGGCGCATTTTCTTTTTGTTGAGTGGGGAGGTAGGGCTTAGGGTTTTGGGGCTGGGGGGCGGGAAGTAGCTTTAGGGCGTGGGGGGGTTCGTTTAGCAGTGCACCGGCACATTCAACTAGCGAAGTAAGAGACTGTTTGGGAATTTTTCAGGTAGATTTCTCTCCTACACCTGGGCGCTTTCGACTTCGTTTTGCTCTTGAGCATCGGTGCAAGAGTGTCCTTAACCTGGGACGCCTTGCAGGGATTCTCTGTAAGGATGTCGCAGCTTGTGCCGAGCCTCCAGCAAAACCCTGACATCAAAGTTATCTTTACGGGTCGACTTTCAGGGTCCTATAAGGATTCTATTCTATAGGGTTTAGGGTTTAGTGAGGGTTGAACTGAAGATAACTGAGGTATTCATTCCACAGGGGGCCTCCATGGCGAAAGGGTCAGCTGCAACACCAAAATACCCGCCGGAACCTAGAATCCCTTCTGCACTTGCTTTCAGTAGCGTAGCAGCTTAGGGCCGAAGGAACTCATGGTGTCCAGAAGCAAGCGGAGATAATCTAACCGCCAAGGCCAAGCCCTGTTGCCCCAACAGAAGCCGTCAAAGCACCTACCTGACCTTTCACGGCAAAGACTGCCTCACCTGAAACTGCACATTCTGACCCAAAGAAGAGCCCTAAATCCCAAAGCGACCGAGAAAATACAGAGGCCCCAGCAATCCAAGCGAAGCTTCGCGGGCATTATACTCGGCTGATCACCTATGAGGGAACCCTGATGACTGAAATCGTCCTCTAATCCTTCAAAAAAGAGAAGCCTATAAACCGACAACAACCCATTCAAAGCTCTATCAGGGCCCGATCAAACCGTTCAAAACCTTAAAACTCACTCAGTCTCGGGGAGCGGGCTTCCCGGTGCCGAAGTCCCAGAGTTGCAGGGCGTTTTCCGTGCGCCAGGACCCTGCGTAGGGCTGGAGTGTTGGATTCAGGGCCGGAGTTTTAGTCAGCTGGGTGTTTAGGATGTCTTAGTTGCTGGGTTCATAAGCTCCCAAAAACTGCACACTTTCAGTTTTATAGCGTGTAAGTGTAATATTATCCCCAAAAGTGTAATAAAGTGTATCCACTCGGCTACTAAGATATAGGATCCTGAAGGCGTAAGGCCTACTTCTCGGGTATCATGGGGAAGTAAAGGTTAACCTTTTTGGTTATACAGAGGGATTATATAGGGACTATACTACCCAAAAAGGTTAAAGGTTACCTACTCTACTACTACAGTAGAAGCTAGAAAGTTGGAATATCATTATCGTATCCCCTTTAAGGTACATTATAGGGGATCCTACCATTATTCCATATTTCAACTTTCTGGAGTTCCCTGCATTACCCATAATAAGGAATATACCATAATTCCCATAGTTTATGGTTCTTACGGTAATGCAGGATTTATATCATCAACCGTCGGAAGGAGTTTGTGGTTTAGGGTCTGGGGGGGCCCAGGGTTGCGGGTTTTTGAGGCTTCAGGCGCTTTGGGCCTGAGGAGGGGCTTCTTCCCTTCCCTCAAAAACGAAGGCATCGGAAGAGGGAAAATGGGCCTACCACGGAGACTGGTCCTTTTCGTCGGTTATTTGGAGGTTCGGAGCAAGGTATATTAGGGTGTGTTCAGAATCGTGGGGCTTGAAGAATACGGGTCTGCTGGACATTGACCCGCGTGCTTGGAGTTCATCGCTAAACTCTGGGTGAAGGGGACCTCAGCAAGGCTTGAGATCCCTGAACTTGCAAACACCAGCTACGGAAACTATCTGTGAGTCGTGCTGGTCCGCAAAGCCACCCGTGCCTTTCATACCCCTGGAGCCCTTCCCCTGGACCCCAAAACCTCACCCATGACCTGTAAGGATCTGCTTGCCATCTGTGGAGATGTCAACAGAATCGCCACCTCAGTCGCAACAGGTATGAATACTTCAAAACGGGCTTGTCTTGAGGTTTAGGGTTTATAGGGTTTAGGGTTTAGGGTTTAGGGTTTAGGGGTGTAGATGGCCCAACAAACCCTGTTCGAATATGTGCAGCACGCGTATAAGACTTTCGGGCTTCGGATTCGCCTTTGTAATTGGAAGGGGGTTTTGGGGCAGACTATACTGTAATGATAACAAGGAACCCCCAAAAATACTACAGGTAATTATTTAGGACCCTTATATTATGTTTACAGGGCTCACTGGGCTAATGAACTTCCCCGACTTATAGTATGTCTTCCAAATGGGTGGTTGTCAAAATTAGGGTCCTTTTTGACCCAAAAAGGGACCCTAATTTTGACAACTATCTATATAAATGCCTTTGCTGAAAGCTCAGAACCACTTGGCAAAGCTGCGCAGTTCGAGGTTTTGGAAGTGACGTTGAAGGCTTCAGGCCGCAGGGTTACGGTGGCCACATGTAAATTTGCTATACCTCCCTTAGAGTCCTTAGAGCCATAATAAAGCTCATATCTTTAGTGTTCTCTTGGGTTTTATGTGAACAAAAATAAAGACTAATTCCTCAGGAGACTATAATTTGGGGTCAACGGGTCTAAACTTCAGATCCACTGCCGTGCCAGACTCACAGAGCCTTACTGCATCCAACCTGCTCCCCCTGACATGAGCAGCCGAGATGCAAATGTAGCAGTTCCAGAGACTTCGCACGGAAATGCCTCAGTGTTCTCCGCGCTTTTGAGGCATCTCTGATCGCACTAGTGACACCATCAGAACCCGTTAGACGAGCAGCACTTGTGACCAACGAGATAAAGGCTAAAGCCGGTGCCATCGTAGTACAAGCAGTACCAACAGTCATAACGCGACTAACTGTAGAAGTGTTTATGTGCCAACCTGCCGAACACACTCTCACTCCTCACGCCATCTTAGATCCTACTTGGAGGATCATGGGACTTAGTAAGTAGGGCCGTAGGGTTTCAAGTACCTTAATTGGGGGGCTATAAGCATAGTTATCCGAGTCATAACCCTAGTTATTAAGTCCCTTGATCCTTTAAGTGACCACAACCTTCCAACCTTTAACGCTGACTCCTAAGCTGAGTGCTCTTGTAGGCTGAGAAGAGGTACCCCTTCCGTCTGGTGCCGGCTGGTCCGTCGTAAAAAAACCCAAACACCGCCATGCTCATCCCAGACGTCTGCGAAGTAGCCTTTAGAATCATGGTTTTATCATTCACGATAGACATGTCGTAGGGCAGTTAGGGTTTAGGGTGTAGGGGTTTAGGAGCTTCAGGGAAATATGTGAGGCCAATATGCTGCACTTCCGCAACTTTGACGCCCAAACAAACGGCGGTGCAGGTAGCACGGTTGATGGACAAAATCCTGCATTACCCATTAAAAGGAAGATACCATAATTCCCATAGTTTAGACTCCTTAGGGTCATGCAGGATTTTGTCCATCAACAGCATGTAGGGGCCGCTGAAAACGGGCCTTCAATGCAGCGATTGCAGTCGCAGCTTCTTCTGGTCCTTGTACCCTTTGCAGAGCCCGCCTAGAGCCCTCATAGAAAGACTCCTTGCAACAAAAGACAGAAACAAGAGATCAGGGACCGCTCTTTTGGAACAGCTTTTTGAGGTTTAAACTTCGTTCCCAAAGAGAGTTTGAGATAATCCCGGGCCGACAAGATAAGTGGCAGGGTCCTTGATGTGATGGTCACCGAATCAGGAAACCCTGATCAACAGAATATTTCTTGCATACCGTGTTTCTCGTCCTGGCTCAGGGTTTAGGGTTTAGGGGTTTAGGGAGGTGAGGGGCGTGAGGTATGGGACTTTCGGTTAAGGGGGTTGGGTCTTAGGACGTTTAGCGAACCTGTGCCAAGCATAGCATGGTAAGCCCAGGGCCTTTCCGAGTGTCCCACAGCTGTACCTGTCCGCAACGATGTTTGAATGGGCCGGCTAGATCTGGGGCAAGTGCATCAGACTCTAAACCCCAGACCTATCACCAAAAATCAGGCATGAGATCAAGTTCCCAAATCAATCACAGGGTGAACTTCGCAAAGTGCTCTGTTCTTGAAATTGGGGCTTCCTACCTGTCGGGTATCATGGGGAACTAAAGGTCAACCTTTTTGGGTATATAGGGCTTATATAGGGACCATACTACTTCAAAAGGTTAAAGGTTACCTACTCTACTACTAGGGCTTTTCGGGGAGCCTCGCAGTCTTGCTCGCTTTTGGGATGTTGCCCTTTCTGAAAATCAGGCTGCTCTCAAGTTACCCCAAAGAGACCCAAGGTTTAGGGTCTAGGGCTTCGGATAATTACCTCTACGATTTTGGCGCTCGTAAGGTTACCATGAAAGAAAAGAGAACACCATAAGGGCGCCATAAGGCCAAACACTGTTTACACGCGTCTTCTGCTATAACCAAACCCCAGAACCGCAAACTTGGAACACCCCCCAAGGTCGTGTAACTTAGCAAGCTTAGCTCTTCTAGGTGGGGCTTTGAAGAATATTAGCAAATACGATCCTCTTAAGCCCAACAAGGGAAACATACAATGTCCCAACGCCCTACCTAGCTTTTCATGCTAAACCCTACAAATCCTGAACCCTGAACTCCCTTAGGGCCTAGATTCTTGAATCCCTAAGGCGAGGCCAAGATTCCACTATGACTTCTCAGAGAACCCAATACCCCTTAATTAAGGGATATACCTTAAACCATAATAGTAAGGCCTCTGTAATTTAAGGCATATACCTTAATTAAGGGGTTTTGGAGTTCTCTGGGTTTGCACTCTACTTATTTGAGAGCGAACACAAGGCTCCTAACACAAGCCTTGGATCCTGAGGAGGCTGTCCCGAAAATGGACACCCTGCCTAGCGCCATAAACTCAAGTCCCATACGCTGTATCGATATACATCCCAAACTCCCATAAGCACAAAGCCACGGACTTGTGGAAAGCCGAACATCCTCAATGCAAGACTCTGAATCCTGAGCCTAACCCCCCGACATTTAGTGTAATGTTCGTTTCTTTAGGCCTTATTCCTCAAACGTGCTATTCTATGATCTATGCCCACACCCTGTTTTTCGACACCCCGGGGGGCCGTGTTGTCCCAGCCGCCGGACAGGATGAGATTGGGGTCCTGAAAGGAGGGTTCGGTGTTGGGTTAGGAACTCTTCAGATAAGGAAGCGGCGTACGGGAACTATACCTCCGTTAGAGCCATAATACAAACAATATTTTTAATATTCTCTTGGGTTTTATCTGAACAAAAGATTAAAAGAGTAATTCATAAGGAAACTGTAGGGAATTCTGTTTTATATAGGCGGCACCAGGTTCTCGCTGGTGAGTCAGCGAGTTCTTTCGAGGCTGTACCGGGCCTGATGGGGTCTTCTCTTCCAACATTCGGCAAGGCCTTGAGAAGGCGTCAAGGGGTTGAAGCAGCTATAGAGAGAGTATGGTAGTATGGGACTCTGTTGCACACATTAGCATGTGGTGATAAGGTGATACAACTAGCACCATTAAGTTTCGAAACTCCTATATAATCCCTCGCCACAACAACCTTTTGCGTATCCTTAACTCTGTCCAACCTCACCTGCCATCACCATACCAAAACGGGCCGGGGAGTGAGGAACGGTAGATTCAGATAGCTGTTGAGGTTTTAGCGCTTAGAGTACCAGCCCCACATCTAGAGCAACATTAGCACCTTTTACATCACAAAATGACAAAATAGAATATGGCGTTAGGTAGGGTCTATAGCTATGCCTATGCTATTAACCCCATTAAACCTTACACTAGATCCCGAAGCCTGAAACTCTACATCTGGAACCTCAAACCCGTCAAACCCCACCTCAAACAAATTCCAAGAGGATGAGGGACCCTAAACTTATCTTATATAGCAACACCCTCTAAAGCCGCATAGCACAACCCAACTTCTGAGAAATAAATCCTTAACTTTCCAGGGATTACGATTTAGGCCTTCCCTCCACTCAAGGAACACTCAACCCTAAACCCTAAACCACCTAAACACCCCAAAAACTAGAACAACCTCCTGCAGCCCTGAATCCAGTAAACAAGCCCAGAAAAAACCCTGAACCCTGTAAAACACTAACCCTAAACCCTAAACCCTAGACCCTAAACCCTAAACCACTGAAAAAGGCTCCTCGGGGTGGTACTTCAGAGAGAAGACTCGATTGGAGTGCCCTGCCGTCTCCTCTCAAAACCAAGAAGGGGGGGACGGGTTTTGGGAGTTTTTTTTTTGTCGGGTTTGGGGGCTAAAGAAAGGGTTAGGGTTTAGGGTTTAAGGTTTAGGGTTTAGGGTTTAGGGTTGTTACTGCAGTTGAGGTTTTGGAGGGCAAGGGTTCCTAATTACAGAAGAGATTCAGGGTTGAGGGCCTTTTTTTGTGGGCACTTTGCTTTTGTTGTTTTGGTTTAGGGCTTAGTTTGCTGGGTTTGGGGATCTAGAGTCAAGAGAATATATGGCTCTCTAAAGAATCCTGGAAACTATTTGGGTGGTTGTCAGAATTAGGGCCCGTTTTTGGTCCCTCATACAATGCGGCACCTAGTATTTAGGGTACCCAAAGAGGGACCATAACTTTGACAACCACCCATATGGATCTTAGGATATTTCGGATCTAGGACACAGAGATGCGGGAAGTTTTCTGAAAGCCCAAGGCGCATGACGTTACGCATCCGAGACCCGTTCACATCACTGCCCTGCCGACCAAAAGACCCGGAACCGCAGAGACTTTAGGGCTTAGGGCCCCTGAACTCTCACGGCCAAAACAATCGCACAGACCAATCAAATGCCCCCTCATATGCGGAAAGCAGCCCACCTTCATGTCACCCCCCTGCAGCGTCATCACCTGCCTCTTCGTCGCCTGACTGTCTGGTTCTTAGTCGGGAATGGGGGAATGGATGCCTGTAGTAGCCCCTATCTAATCCCCAACAATGGTCCACATAGCCCAGTTTCCCACTCCGAAGGCCCCGTTCCAGACTCAGAACCAAAACCCTAAACCCTAAACCCCTAACCCTAAACCCCTAAACCCTAAACCCCTAAACCCCTAAACCTTAAACCCTAAACCCTAGACCCCCCTAAACCCTAAACCCAAAGAGCTGATATGGCGCTTTTCCGGCCCTGAACCCGCAGCCGGAAGGGCATCGGAGGGGACCCGCAGGGTTTAGGTTGTTCTTATTTAGGGTTTAGGGTTTGGGGTTGAAGGTTTGGGGGTTCAAGGTTTTGGGGTTTAGGGTTTAGGGGTTTAGGGGTTTGGGGTTCAGGGAAAATTTTAGGGGTGCAGGGATTTAGGTTATGGTAAAGCCGGTCTGGATTGAGTGGAGGTCCTGAGTCAGAGCCCTCTTCGCTAACTTCAGTGCCGTCCGACCGCACCTTCCACCCGTTTTTTATGCTGACCTCTGAAGAGAGCTCTCCTACTGCCCATATGGCTTGTCTCAAAGAGCCCAATACCCATCCAACAGGAAGCCTACTGCAAATCATGAAACGGGCCAGTCATGTGATCTGAGGTGCATCCCTTGATTGATTCGGGGAGGTGGACGTGGAGTAGCCCAGGTATCCCCTTAACAAAAAAATCCTTCTGTATACACGCAACTTTACCAACCAAGACCGTCGTAAACAAAAGCTGTCCGGTGTTTAGTAGGGAAATTCCCTTGGGCGAATGGATCCCTATCGCAGTCCCTATATAATCCCTCAATAATAGTCTCCATAATCCATTCCCCCATTCCCTACTAAGAACCACACAGACAAGGGGGAAGTTCAAGGTGCCGCTACTGCACGCCTTACCCCCTGCCTTAGATCCTTGAAGGCAAACTGCAAGATCTTAAGTCCTAAGCGCTGGAGCGCAAGCACAACCGCCAAGCTCTGTTTAAGGTCTACAGTTTGAGGAGTGTCCCGCTTTTTTGCTAAATCCCTGCTAGTTTAGTCCACTTCTCTATTAAGCCAACCCTAAACCCTGAAGTTAAACCTCTTAACCCCCCAGGCCCCTCGGCCACATCCTAGACCATGGAATGCATCCCACTACCCCTCAACCTGCCCCAAAAAGTTGAACCTTCAACTCGAAACACTAAGACGTGGGTGGTTGTCAATAATAGGGGTCCCCTTTTTGGGTAAGTAGTATAATGCGGCACCTAATATCTAGGGTACCCAAAACGGGACCATAATTTTGACGACCACCCACGTCGAACCTGAACCTTAAGCATTCTCCTGGGCCTCGTCGTAAACTCGAACGAGTCGATCCCGACCAGCCGTGGCAAACTGACTGCCGTCGTTGAAATAGTCGAGACCTTGGGGTACAGGGCTTTTACTACTAGGGTTCCTTCAAAGGGGGTCTATAGGGGTTACTATAAGGGATCTATGAGGGTACTGTAGACTATAGGGGCCTTCATAATCAGAATAGGAGCTTGGGGGGTTCAGGATTTCCTGGGCTTTTACTTAGTTGCTGAGTTCATAAGCCCCAAACAAGTGTACTCTTTCAGTTTTATAGTGTGTAATATTGTCCCCAAAAGGTGTAAAGTGTATCCACTCAGATACTAAGTTTAACTAGAACAGGGTTTGGGGGGCCCATTATACTATGACTATAATAAGGATTTTTCAAAACGGCATAGGTAATTAAAGTATTGAGGCCGCTATATTTCACCCATACTGTTACCTAGTCCGCCACTCAGACTGGGCTTTTAAGTAACCAAGGAGAAGCAGTTATAGACTTTTGTTTCGTAGTGGTTCGTTCCTTTAAGGAACAGGTACCAAAAACACGTATTCAAGTATGGTACTCCAAACCCAGGTAGTTCTGGATGGCGTGTAGGGGTTCAGGGTAGGGTTTAAGGAGTTGTGTGTTTTGGGGGTTAGAGCTTCATGGTTTTTACTTACTTGTCCAGTATCTTAGGGGGACTACAACAAGGTTAATCCTTGGGAGCAATCATATAGGGGTTACTGAAACCGAAAAAGGTTACCTTCTCTACTACTCAGCATCTAGGGTGCCCAATAACCAGATTAGGAATAAGAAGGGCTCCCTGTTTGGTATCGGGTAGCTTTATAAGGAACCTAGGACTACCTAAAGGGAATAAGGGTAACACTGGGCATCCTACAGTAGGTATAGGGTTTTCGAAGGCGTTCGGGTTCCTCACGCTCGGACTCCGAACTTTAAGCTTCACAAACGGAGCCCGGACAGCTAAATACCCTGATGTCCCGGACCCTACACCCTAAAATCCTAACTGGGCTTTCAAGGAACCAGGGAGAAAAGAATTGAACTTGTATGTCATAATGGTTGCTTTAAGAAAAAGTATTAGCGTATGGTACTCGAAAGCCCAGCTAATCCGTAAAAATCCAGTTCCCCAAACCCCAAAACCCTAATCCTTAAAACGTCGAATCCCAGTGGGCCCAAACCCGGAGCCCCAAGACCCAACACCCAAAGCTCGAATCCCTTAATACAGGGGCCTTCTTGGAAAACCTTATGCCTTAGGATGTGTACTGGCTTGATTCGCGATTTCGTTTGGCTTACTCACCCCACAGCACCGTCTGGGGCTTACCTCGCCCCGCGTTCAACCACACAGGCTCTGTTACCTGAGGCGGCAACAAAAAAGCTGGTTGCCCTTCTCCGTGATTGTGTGAAGGCACCTGGAGCCCCAGCCCTAAAGCCCTGAGACCTAGAAACCCTACTTGGAGCTTCATGGGTAGTTATAGGTAGGGTTATAAGTAGTGTAACTAAACTTAGAACCCATATTAGGGGACTTATTATAACCCCACTTATAACCACCCCTGAACCTCGGAGTAAAGATTAAGGCCCACACCCAAAACCCTGTACCCTAGTAGGCGCCTGGAGCACGAACCCAAAAGCCCTGAGCCGTATAAACCCTAAAGCCCTGAGGCGGAGCCACTGGAGGCTTCAGCACTCTCACCTTCGGCACCATCACCCTCAAACACTCTGGACGGCTCGTCGGCCGAGTTGAGCTCGCTTGGAATCCATCTCACACAGGCGCTGATGTTACGGCTCAAGCAAATTGCACTAAGCTTGCGAATGCACTTTAGCAGCTTGTAGTTCCGTGCACGGCCCCTGTCAAAGCTGAGAGCAACAGGAAGATTGTCGACTAACAGGAGCTGCCGGATGTTGCCCTTAAAGGGATCTATAGGGTTCCTTACAGGGATCTAGCGGGTTTAGTTTAGGGTTTAGGCTTAGAGGATCATGGGACTTAGCAAGTAGGGTTATGATTAGGTTAACTATAGTTATAGCCACTTATAACCCCAATTAAGGTACTTAGAACCCTACTTACTAAGTCCCATGATCCTCCAAGTGCGATACGGGCTTTAGGCTTCATGGGCTGCATGCAGAAAGCCGTAAACATGTTCAAAACCGCAAACCTAAAATCGTAAAAAGCAATCAAAACCGCGAACGTAAATCCCCACAGTAAACCCTAAGAATATTTCAATACCGTAAACCTGAAGCCCTTCAATAAACCCTCAAGAAAAGTTCCAAAACCGTGAACCTAACACCCTACAGTAAACAATCAAGCAAAATCAAAAACCGTAAACCTAAACCGTAGAGTAAACCTTAGTTAAGGGCCCTGTGGCCCTAAACCCGAAAAACCACAAGTCTAAACTACAACTCTAAACCCTAAAGCGGGAAGCCCCAAATCCCCGAACTTACAACCCTAACGCGAACCTTTGTTGCCGAATCTAAAGTCTCCAAGCCACTTTCCCGACTTGATGTGCCACTGCAGGATCTGGCCTTTTAGGGAGAGGGCCACTGGGGGAGTGGAAGGGCCGTAATATTTGGAATAGTTTTTGGGTATGCCTTGTGTTGTTTTATAGCAAAAGACCGTTAAACAATGGTATGAGCAACTAGGCGTACTAATTATAACTATTGACCTGCTTGTCGGGTATCATGGGGAACTAAAGGTTAACCTTTTTGGTTATACAGAGGGATTGTATAGGGACTATACTACCCAACAAAGGTTGAAGCTTACCTACTCTACTACTAGGCTGAGGCTTTTGGGCGCCTTGTGGGGTGATGGGACGGGCGGGTTTTTGTCCGGGCATACATCGCCTCCGCGTGTTCATGTTGACAAGCACACAACGGTTTGCAAAGCACGCTTACCCTTCTCGCTCACGGTGCCAATGCTCTCGTCGAATGTGAAATGGTGAAAGGTCAAAGCCCTCAGTGCGTTAGGCAGTGTCTTGGCGGATATCTTGACGCCCTCAAGAGCACCTTTCAGCATGGCCCTCGGCCCAATGTTGTGGTACTGGCGTGCTATCGCCCCGCACTCGCCGTCACAAAGATCTGCTTCCATCGACCATCATGCGACGATGCATGTCCATCTCGCACCTGCTCATCTTGTTCTTCTTCGGATCATCGCCTCTCGGTGGTGGTGGTGGTGACAAGTAGCTGGAATGAAGAGCCCGGAAATGTTGATGTGCTTATGCTGGCACTACCCCAGTTCATGGCTTCAAGCAGAGGCACATGAACCTTCGGTTGCCTTAACCCAGACCCCCGGGAGGATCTAGAAAGTAGATCCCCTAATTTGGGGCCCTATACTACTAAGGGTACTCTATAGGAACCCCCAACCCTAAACCCTAAAGATCTTTTAAAAGGACCCTTTAAGGAACCCCTAAAGGAACCCCCATTAAGGGATCTGCTTTTTGGATCCTCTAAAGGGGGTCTGGGAAGAAGCGAAACCCTAAACCCAAAACCCTGAACCCAAAACCCTAAACCCCAAACCATAAACCCTACACCCAAAACCCTAAAACCCCTATGGTTGCCATAAGAAGCGCAACCCTCGAAATCGTCACCAGGTCTTCGGCCGTTGAACTCTAAACCCTAAACCCTTAAGACCCTTATGGATCCTTTTAAAGGCACCCTTATAGATCCCTTTAAAGGTACCCTCTAATTTTCGGAAACCCCTCGACATCGTCACCAGGTCTTCGGCCGTCGAACTCGGCGTTAACGGAGATCAGGACCTCATTGAAGCCAACTTGGAGGGTCGGGGGACTTAGTAACTGGTTATTTTAGGGACTTATAAGTACCATAACCCCAATTAACGTCCCTGATCAAGACCTCATCGAAGCCAAGGAGGGAACTTCGCGGGTGTACTTGGGTAGTTACAAGGGGTCCTTTAAGGGTCCCTTTAAAAGGATCTATAGGGATTCTACAAGGGTATAGGGTTTAGGGTCTACTTGGAGGTTCACGGGTGGTTCTAAGCGGGTTACAAGTAGGGTAACTATATACACTTATGACCCATATTAGGGCATTTATAACCCCACTTATAGCCAAGGAGGGAAGTTGGTGGGTGTAATGTGGGGGCCTTCATAATTAGAATAGGGCTCCTTTGAGGGTTCCTTTAAATATAAAGGGGTTTATAAGGGCTACTATAAGGCGTATTATGGAGTTTTTACTATAGGGGCCTGGATAGTTAGAAAAGTGCTTAGGGGGCCATTATACCATAGTTATATCCAGGAGCCCCCAAAATGGTATTGGTAATTGTTTAGGCTCCTTTTTAGGGTTTAGGCCTTCAGGGAACAACACGGATGCATGGCTCAGGTTAGGATTGTTGGCTGTAATTAGCCTTTTGGGACCGACGGGCTCGGATTGAAGGCTTTTGCGTTTTGGGGCTCTGGGCTTTAGGGCTAAATGGGTAGGTTATTTGGGCTACAGGCAGGGGTTTCGGGAAGCCCTCAAGAAGTAAAGAATGTAAAGCGTCAAGTAAACTCCTTAAGCAGCAATGCAGGGGCCTTCATAATCAGAATAGGGCTTTGGGGTCCATGTTACTCTGACTATAATAAGGAGCCACCAAAGTAGCATAGGTAATTATTGAGGCCACCCATGCAGTTACCTAGTTCGCCGCTAAAACTGGGCTTTGAAGTAGCCAGGGACAAAAAGAGTAGACTGTTACTTCATAATGGTTCCCTTTCAGTAACAGGTCCCGAAAGAGTATTAAAGTATGGTACTCCCCCAAGCCCCATAAGGATAGGGATATCCCATATAAACCCCCTCATAATAAGCACAATATGGTAGGGATATCCCTATCAAGTGCCTATGCTTATGTGCTCTTTGGGCCCCTAATAAACAACACCGGGGACCCGGGCACTCTGAGTCTTCGAAGCAGCGCCATGTGGCCTGTGTTTTTTCATAGGGACCCTTAGGGGGGGCCTTAGGGGGAGGGGGTAGGGGACTATACTTCCTCAAATAGGCCTTATGAAGTCCTTCTGCTAGGAATTACATAAGGCTCCCTACTCCCCCCCTACCCGCCCAAGGGTCCTTATGATTTCTGAAGGCCAGTTTTTAGTTTTGAGGCTTGAGGGCTGAGGTCATTATTCTTGCAATGCTGTTTTTAGTATCATTGTTGGTATCATCAGATTTCTTGTGCTCATGATCATCACGGATCTGCTCCCCATTGCTCCCCTCCACTTTGCCCATACCCTGCACCCTAAACCCTTACTTGGAGGATCAGGGGATTTAGTAAGTAAGGATATAAGTACCTTCGTTGGGGTTATAAGTAGCTATAAGTATAGTTACCCTAGTTATAACCCTCGTTACTATAAGTCCCATGATCCTTTAAGTAGAGGCTCAGCCCTGAGGCTAACACGCTAGACCTCATGCCAACTTTCAGCCATAGGGTTTAGGGTTTAGGGTTTAGGGTTTAGGGTCAAGGAAGTCCTGCAACATTTACGATAAGAGCCCACAAGCGAGCTCAGCGACTAGGTCTTGAATAGCTAGGAGAGGCTACTGGAAGGTATGGTATATCGCAAAGCACTCAGAAACAACCTACGGGCCTATGAAAAATACACAGTCGGGTGGTTGTCAAAATTATGGTCCCTTTTTGGGTACCCTAAATATTAGGTGCCGTATTATAATAAGGACCCTAAAAGGGACCCCAATTTTGTCAGCCACCCATTGAAATCTAAACACTCCTACTACAGCCCCATCAAGCTTTGTCCCGTAGTTCCTCGGGCCTCCAACGCAGCTGCGTCGTGGGCAAAGGCCTGGGAGGGTGCTCACATAGAGGGTGGAAGACTAACCCCTAAACCTTGGGTACGGCCCCACTCAGTAATAGTTGAATAATATTCATAATATAGATATAGTAGGATCTTAATAGTAGCCCTATTATAGACTCTTACTGTATGGGAGCCGTACCTAACCTAAACCCTACTCGGTCTTATACATTGAACAGAAGCTCGATACTGGACATAATCGTATACGCACTTAGGAGGGATTCTTGCCTGTCTTCTTAGACTTCATTGTAGAAGAGTTTGCTTGGGATATCCCTATCCTATTTCTGCTTTTGTGTGCTTTTTGGCAGCTCTAACCCAAAAACTCATACTCATACCGCTTAGTTCGTCCAGGTGTAGGCTTCGGGGTGTAGGGTAGGGCTCGCAAACTTTTATTCCAGGGTGTTTGGGGGGTTTGGACTGCATCGACCAAACAGAAGGCAGCCGGGATGGGAAAAGCCACTGGAGCCCTAGTTACTTGTCGGGTATCATGGGGAACTAAAGGTTAACCTTTTGGGTTATACAGGGATTATGCAGGGACTATACTACCAAAAAAGGTTAAAGGTTGCCAACTCGACTACTATCACAGGGGAAAAGAAAGGACCCTTAATGGGGACCCCACCCTAAAATGGGCTATATACTGGGTATATAATAGCTATACTAAGGGTATATACCTAGGGGTCCTTATTATTAGGTGCCTCCTTTTACCCTTGGATACTAGGGAGCCCTAAGCCCTAAACCCCCAAGGAGCCATCCCTGACCGGGCTTCCGTGCCCGGCTTTATAATTACCTATACTATTTTTGAGGGTTCCTTAAGGGTTCTGATGTTCAACATCATCTCCCTAGGAGGTGCTTCTAAAGCCTTTGAAACATATTAGTAGGTAAAGATCCTCTTAAGCCCAATAAGAGGAAATGTCCCAAAGCCCTACCTTGTCCATCCTCGTCTCACCACGAAGCCACGCAACGTCACCGGCCCGTTCTCACGCGGCGATTATCTATCCCATGGGCACTCTTTAAACGCTGAGTGAGACAAGCGAAACTGTGAAGACCCGCACTCCCAGAACAAGCAGGAAAGCATAATTGTAGGGGCCTTAATGATTAGAATCGGATTCCCATTCAGATCCATTCAGGAATCTACAAGCGATAGTAAATGAAGCTTCTAAGAAAGATACTGTAAGGCTTCTTTAACCGATACCGTTATAAGGGTTCTATAACGGATGCTATAAGGACTCTAATATAGGGGGGGCTTTGTAAGTGCGGAAGGAATAACAATACTACTGTTGATGATATAGATCCTGCATTGCCTTAAGAACCCTAAACTATGGGAATTATGATACATTCCTTATTGTGGGTAATGCAGGATTTATATCATCAACTGTAGTTCGTTAGGCTTCGGGTATTGTAACAGAAGTGTTCAGGGCCAAAGAGCGACAGCGGCGGCCAGTCAAAAGTCCTACACAAGAAACTTAATTCTTGGAAGGGGCCCCCACCGTGTAATAGTGGTATAATAGGAATGTAGGGGCCCTAATATCATCCTTATAGTCACTATTGCAGGGTGGGGGCAGCTTCTAACTTAACCCCGAGAGCATTAAAGTGCCTCTATTCTTAAACCCCAAACCCAAAACTCCATTTATCCAGGCCCCCTAAACTAAATGGTGCTCCGAGGACGGAACGTGGCCGAGAGCTCGGTGGTCGCCGGAGTGCTATTCAGCACGAACCTGAGCTCCGTTGAACGGTTACTTAGCGGATCATGGGACTTAGTAAGTAGGGTTTCAAGTAAGGTAACTATCGTTATATCTACGTATAACCCCAATTAAGGTACTTATAACCCTACTTACTAAGTCCCATGATCCTCCAAGTACGGTTGTTCGGCGGTTCAAGGCTCAAGGAGGATTTGGGATTTTGGGCGCAACCAGTGGTTGCGCTTAGGGTTTTAGGGCAAGGCGTTTCGGATTTGGGACTTTCGGTATCTGTTGCTGGGTATGAGACCTGTGCTCCGTTTTTGAGGCAAGTAACCTTGCGATTGTCAATAGTCATCGCCCAAACTACGGTAGTTGGAGCCGTAACTTTATGTACCCATGACGCCTGCGCCCCTCCAAATCCACGGCAAACCCATGCACCCGCTTAAATCGAAGCCGCAAACCCAAATTCTAATCCGAAACCGACACAGAAAGCGCTATCCTCCTGATAATCCCAATGAGCAAACACCAAAACGCCACGCCGCAAACTTTCAAGTCCAATGTCTTCAACTCTCTTGAAGCAACAACTTCCTAACCGTTGTAGAAATCCTCTACTAACTTCCTCTACTGATACCCTGCTGGGTCGCTCCACAACCCCTCAACATACTAAATGCATGAATCTTCGACCATGCCTTCGTCGCTACAACAAGGCTTATAACGGAGCTGTAAGAGAAAGCAGGTACAGTATAGTTACAAACGGACTATACGGGCATGGTACTGCTGAGTGTGCCAACCCTCCAAAGCCTTACAGCTCTGGTTTTTCCACAAGCCTCCCCTATCCTCGGAAAATCCAGCCGGGCGTCTCCTGGCGTCCTGCGGAGCGGGCACGTTGAGGCTGAAGATTGAATTTTTTTAAGGCTAGGATGTAAGGATTCAGGTTCGTTTTCGAAGCCTATTAAAGCTGCACGCCCAAGGTTAGGGTCTTCTTGGGAGGGGCCTTCTGTCGGGTGCTTAAAGTATAAGAACCTGGCCGCTTGTAGCAAGATGATGATAGCCACGACCTTGAACCAGACCCCGAATTTCAGAAGCCGCCCCCAGCAGTCCCCAAAGGATCTACATCAGGTGCTGGGGTTTAGGGTCACGCCTCAAAGATTCGGGTATACTCAATTGACAGCTTGCGACTTAACTAGAAGCAGGCAGGAACAATGTGAAACACCCATGTGCTCTGATTTGAAGGCCCCAAAAGCCTTGCAACTGCAATATGCCGGAGCTTCGGAGGGTATACTTTACTCACACCGTATAGGGATGGTACCCGCGCATGAATCAACTTGGGATGCTGTTTGTTGACCTATCCTCATCCGCGCTTCCTCTTCACTTGCCAGTGCAAGCGTTCGTGCCGATTACAATTATGGTTGTTCGCCCCTCGAACCTCAAATTCCCTAACTTAGCGGCTGAGTTCATAAGCCCCTAGAAGGTGTACACTTTCAGTTTTTTAGTGGGAAATATTATCCCAAAAAGTGTGAAGTGTATCCACTCAGCTACTAAGCTAAACCTTAATCACTGCTTGCATGGTTTGCAAGAACGGGCAGCCTAAAGCCGCGACTGCTTGGGACAAAACCGGCGAAGTGCTGCAACTCCATGTCCCGCTTGAAACCCTAAGCGTGTCAATTAAAGAGGCCATAATTCGTCGAAAAGGGTTTCGGGGAATGTTTTAGCTTTTCTATAGCAAAGAATGCTAGGGCCTAGGGAATATTCTGCGAGATTTTGGGGAACCCATTTTGAGGCCTGTCTCTGCACTGTAGACGTGAATCGCACCATTGGCAAAGGATGCAGCCAGGTACCTGGCAGTTTAGGGTGAATTGAAGCATCACTGTGGTGTCAGCATGCGCCACCTCGGCAAACACCAGAAAGGAGACAAACGAGCAATCCGCAGATGGCCAGGTAGAAGATGATTCTTGCTCATGGGGGTCTGGGACTCCAATATCCCTTAATTAAGGAATGTTCCCTAAATCATATTAGGGATCCTACCATAATTTAAGGAATCTTCAGTAATTAAGGGATATTGGAGTCTCTGGGGGGGGGGGTCTGATGCATGCAACAAGAAGCCCTCAGCCCCAAACCGTACACTCTAAACGCTAATCGAGCGAAATACCGACCTCGCCGTTCGCGCTTGTCCCTGGTTCAAGTTTCATGGTTGGGATAGGATTAAAACTGTCAATGTATACTCCTCATTGGATTTAAGTACCCATAAAAATGTAAATGCTACCCAACTATGACCAAGAGAAGGGTGCCGTTAACTTCAGCTTGTCTGAGGCGTGGCTTCTGCCGGTTTGGATGTGACTTTCTGGGCTTCAGGATCGCTAGAGGATTGAGCAAGGCGCGACCGTATGACTTCTGGCATGTACATGTATCTGCTTCCCTGTGACTTGAGGTCCAAAAAAGCTTGGTTTGCGTATTTCGGGGTTTAGGTCGAGGGGCTCTGAGACAACATGACGGCAAGAAGGAACGGACAGCAATGCAGCAAAACGGGATGAAAGCCGAACGTCAACGACGCCGCTTTTGATTCGTGCACGCGGACATGGCTTCATAAATTGGCGTGAAAGCCCTCAGACACCATCCAAACAGGATCCAGTTGGCGGCGCCAACAAGCGACCAGAGCCGGCCCAGCCATCAATGTGCCAACGTGCTATCAGGGCAAGGTTCTGGAGAAAGTCTAGAGAAAGAAAGCTTTCAGTGTTGAAGCTTGAAGGATACGCTAGCAGAATTCGGACACCAGCCAACAAACGAGCCTGGAATGCCAAGTTCTCGGCTTCATGACAAGCACGGGATTACCCTGTCGATCCAGTACCAAAAGTAGGGCTTCAGCGCATCTCCGAGCCGGGTGGCGACTTAAGAAAATTGAAGACCCCAGAACCGCATACAATCCAAAAGCCTTACTTGGAGGTTCATGGGTGCTTCTAAATGGGGTTCTAAGTCCCCGAATATGGGCTATAACTACCGTATGTCGGGGACCTTAACCCCGAAGCGTGGCCGGGTCTGCTGGTCGTCGGGAGAGAATCGGACGCAGAAGCAGTCGGCCACTGGCGTGTAGCCAGGATTCACTGTATATTTGGACCTGGGAGAATGAAAGGGAGGGCTCTGTAAGAGTTGGTATAAGGGTGGTTGTCAAAACTACCGTCCCTTTTTGGGTCCTTAATATATTACGGCACCTATTATTTAGGGTTCCCAAAAAGGGACCCTAATTTTGACAACTACCCGTAAGGGTCCTTTAGGGTTTCTGTCTCTAAGCGCTGTAGGGCTTGGGGCTGTCTAGAAAGCCTGCAAGCGTTCAGGGTTCGGGCGTTTGGAGCCGAGATTTCGTATTCAGCGAAGATGTTTACGAAACCTTAAGGGCACGTGGAGTCTATGATGCAGGTCTGCCAGAGTCTGGAAGGAGCCTGAGAGCAAACAGGATGCTCTAATTCCTTAGCGGCTGAGTTCATAAGCCCCCCAAAAGTGCACACTTTCAGCTTTACAGTGGGTAATCTTGTCCCAAAAAGTGTACAGTGTATCCACGCAGCTACTAAGATTCAGGTAGACTCAGGTTTAGGAACTTGAAGGAGCCCAACCCGCTAAGATTGGGGCTTTCTGAACGTGTTGTAGTCATTAGAGGGAGCCCTGAGGAGTTGTATCCGTGATGATGCAGGTTCCGATACTACCTGGCTTCCAATGCAAGACCAGGTGCCGAATGCGCTTGGTGCCACTGCCGATGCTTGTGACCTCCGATGCATGTCCAGGTTCGGGGTTTTAGGGGCCTTCATGCACATTCTTAAGTACCAGATACGATAAGTTCGAAACTAGACCCCTAAATCCACATAGCTGTTCGCCTCCAAGCCTAGAGTCTCGGTTTCTCTGAGCCGCCGAAACTGACTTGGGACCCTAAAACCCCACGACCACCAGTCCCATCAGACTCATGACATGCTGGCTTGTATAATTATTGGTTTAGGGTTGTATGATTATTGGTGGGAAAATTAAGGAATACTAATACTATTGCCTATTGATTCCCCTGCCTTTGACCATACTTAGTAGACTCCCAGACCCGAACGCGGGCCCCCGTTGGGGATTGACAAAGACCTGCGGGGATTTACGGGTCCTTACTAGCACACAGGTACAGGAGGGAACACCTGCGCAACACCAGCCGCGTCAAATCCCTAAACCCTAAACCGCCGAGGTTTAGGGCTTAAGCCCTTATTATGGGCATATGAAGCCCTTATTATGACCATATGAAGCCCTTAATTATGTTCATATTAAGCCCCTTTTTTTCCGGGTCCGGGGCTCGGCCCATATTAAGCCCTAAAACTACGGCCATATGACACCCCATTTTTTGCCGGGCTCCGGCGGGTCTTAGTGGGCTCTTGGGGTTGACCGGGGGGGGTGACGCGAGGACTCCTGGGAGTCCACATCCAACCCTAGGGATGCCCAGTAACCTAGGAATAAGAAGGGCTGCCTTTTTGGTATTTGGGTACCTTTATAAGGAACCTAAACCCCAAGATGAGCGATAGACTCGAAGCTGACGTGGTGCAGAATCTGGGAGTTTCCGAAACTTAGGGGTACCCTCTTTTGGGGGCCATAAGGGTCCTACTATAACAGGGTGCTGTATTAGGGTCCCCTATTTCCCGTCTACTCTAGCAGCCTCTTCCAAATATGCAGGCCCCGAGCACCTAGACCCTGCTCCTGAAGCTCGAAATTCTGGTTTTTTAGCATCAAAAACCACGTGGAGAAACAGACCCGAAGTAGGGATATCCCATATAGAGGCTTTTGGGTGCCCGACCCTACACCCCTAAAACCTAAACCCCTAAATCCCTAAACGCCCCGGAGCACCAAAGCCTCTTCTTGGGCGGGTAATGCCTTGGCTGCGGCGTATCCTCCTGCCGGCTTTTCCTGCCAAAACTCGAAGCCCCAACCCAACATCAGGCGGCAAAAGGATTTTGCTCAGGAACCTAGCTTGCCTCTCTCCTTGCTTCCTTGCCTGCCTCCCTGCATCCCTCTTTGTCTCTCTGTCTTCTGGATTTGTCCTGGTGACTATGCTGGTCCAGGCGTTGGTGGTGGTGTTGGTGGTGGTGTTGGTGATGGTCGGTTGTGGGGCTTCATCAAGACCTTCGTGCTTAAGGGTTCAGCTGGTGGGATGAGGCATGCAATAGGTCCTAGACGTATATGCCTACACGCTCATCTAAACACTTCGAACCCAAAGCACGACATCTGACATGCGATGGTCGTTTTCGAGATTTGCATAGAGCCTGAAGTGTTCAAGCTCACCGGATTGGGGCTCGAATTGTTGCTGCCCAAAACCCACGTGGGTGCGGCGGTGGACTCCTTCCCTTTAGCTCCCTGGTTTTTTCTCGACCTTCCCGTCAGCAGTTCCAAAATGTCCATACTAAACACGCGTGCGCGTGCAAGCGTCCTTTACTGCCAATGTCTGGAGTGCAGCCACCTACTTAATGAGTTCACAAGCCCCCACAAGTGTACACTTTCAGTTTTATAGTGGGTAGTACTTTCCCAAAACGTGTAAAGTGTATCCAATCAGCTACTCTAGGTAGTATTATTAGGGGGACCCCTTAAAGGGTACCCCTTCTGAACCCTGCTTCTGGCTCTCTTAAAAGGGGCCTTATTGAGAGGGTCTATTTCCCCAAGGGTCCCCCTAATCCTAACTCCCATACTCAGGCCAGTTTCTGATTCTTGTGCACAGACGGCTCCTGCACCGAGGCCAACCCCAAGGCTGACACACCGGGCCCTAGAACCAAAACTCTCACGCCCTGAATCCCAACCGAAACCCTGAGCCATCCCAGGCCCCAATCGTAGATCCATGTTCTCCTACTATAACAGACCATGATATACCAAAATAAAATACTATAGCATACAACAACATACTACGGCATGCTACAGTATAACATACTGGAAGATGCTAGAACAAAGCTCTGCATCTGACGTCCTCTTTCTTCTCTCCCTCAATCGCCATCGGGGCAGGGGCTGGGATGAAAGGAAACGCAGGCCCTTTGAAGCTTCAAACGGCTGCGCGGCAGGATAGCTCTAGGGCTCTAAGGGGCCCCACAGACCTTACCGTGAGGTCTTTGCGGCTGTTTTGGAATACTTCAAGGCTTGTGGGCCCAAAGACCTTGCTATGATGAGGTTTTGGGGCTCTTTTGAGCCTTAAGCCCCAAACCCTAAACCCCAAAACCCTACACTCCTACACCCCTAAACCCATAGTGTAATGACTTGCTGAGCCGCCCCCCCGGCTACCCCGGCCAATGCTTTCGGAAGCTTTGGGGCCTCGAAATGGTCGTTGCAACCACAGCCGGCTCGGGGTTGCAGGGTTTAGGGTCCCTCCGAACCAGTATTATGTAACTATTACTAATATTACTGCTACTATTACTATTATTTTTACTATCTTTAATATTATTACTATTGTTACTATTATAAACTTTAGTACGATTTATGAGCTGCAGTAGTGAATGTTAGTGTTCAAGAATCGATTCTCCTGATAAGTCATTCTGCTATTGGAGGGAGTGCGTGCTTGTAGACTCCAAACACGACAGAACACTAAACAACAGTAGTGGGAGCTTGTCAGCAGGAGAAACAGAGAACGACAGAGAACACTGCTGAGAAACGCAGCAAGAGAGACAGAGAGAGCGAGAGAGCGAAACAGAGAGGGAGAGAGAGAGAGAGAGAGAGTGAGTGAGAGAGCGAGCGAAAGAGAAAACGAGATAGTCAGAGAGGGAAAAGTAGAGACAAAGAGAGAGGGAGAACGAGGCACAGAGACACAAGAACAGAACAAAGAAACAGCAAGAGAGGGAGGGAGAGAGAGAGAGAGAGAGATTGAAGCTTATACCCCAACAGATCTTGAAAGCCAAGCATATTGAATCCCAGCACCTTCGGAGAAGATTGTACCGGCAACCTGACAGCAGACAACTCTTCTAACATCAACATAATCCGGACATCTCAAATGCAACCTGTACCTACAACTGCTAAACCCTACTTTTTTGAAGGTTCTTATGATAAACCCGAATATGGGATTCATAGGGATCCTACAGAAAAGTAGGTTCTGGTAGGTTAAGGTAAGGGATACTGGCACCAATCATTCAGAACTTATCCGGGCCAGTTTTTAACTGTACACAGAACTCATAGTAACCCTCGAAGGAACGCTTTCAAACGCTTATAGAGAGCTTTTGCCAACCCTGACCGCCGTAAGCGTGACAGCCTTATAGTTTTAAACTCTCATAATGAGAAAACTGAACGGAACCCATATCGACCCCTAGAGACCCATAAAGCCCTAAACCCCACACCTCAAGCCCTAACCCTCAATCTGAAAATCTAAACCCTACCCCACACACCCTGACCTAGGCAGAACCCGCAACCCGAAACCTATAAACATGTCCCTGCATATGAGACTCGGGCTCGCGGGGACTTCGGTGGGGCCACTCGACGCAGGGGACTGCAACGGGGCCGTTCAAGCAAGGTTAGGGTCCTGGGGTTTGGGGTTCAGGCTTCTTACTATAGGTTTTCGATCGGATGTCTCAGCATTGTGCAGGTTTGATACAGGGAATGCTGGGTCTCTAAAGGGTAGGTGGAGGGCTTTAATTGGTTTAATCAAGGTGGCCCTGGCGATGCTGGTTGTCATATTCCGTTGTAGGACCTATACAAGCATGGTGCAGTACTTGAAGGTTCAGGGGTGGTTAGAAGTGGGGTTAGTTAAGTTATATGTCCCCTAATATGGGTTATAACTGTAGTTACCCTAGTTATAACCCTACTTCTAACTACCCATGAACCTCCAAGTAACCCTTCAGATCGCAAAGGAAACCATTCTAATCACGAAAGCAAATAAAGTGTAGTTTACCCTAAACCCTAAACCCCTCAACCCTAAACCCTGCGGGTTCAATCTTTAGGGCTTACAGGCCGGGGGCCTGTGTACAGGGTTTCAGTTGGGGACGGCAGGCCTAGACTTTAGAGAGCTCTAGGGTTCAGAGGTTTAGGGTTACCAAATCTTTCTGCAGTGTACGTCGGCACTTAGGACTCTAAATCCTAATCTCTAAACCATCCCTAGGCCCTCAAGTCCCCTAGACCCTTAGCCTCTAGACTCTAAACCTTCTAAGCTTACACCCCTTAACCTTCTAAACCCTGAACCCTAAACCCCAGGGATATAGGGTTCTAGGGTTTAATCCTTCTTGTAGAAGAGCGTAGTGCTGAGCGTGGATAAGTCTTTCGGGTTGTGGGTTCCTCTAGGTAATGTGAACATGTAGGGGGACTTCATAATTCGAATGCTGGCCTTGGGGTATGTTATACTTCTCATTAGCAATAAAGAACTTGGAGGAATGGCATTGCTAGATATTCGGGCTTCCATATTTTGGGTCCACGACGACATCGGAAGGGCTTAATATAGGCGCCTGAATAATTAGAGTAAGGTTTGGGGGCCCATTTTATAGTTATACTAAGGAGCCTCCAAAATAGTATAGATAATGATTGAGGCCCCTATATTAAATTGGATAGTTTACGTCAGATACTGCCCCCATACAGTAAGAGTCTGTAATAGGGCTACTATCAAGGTCCCTATATATCTATGTTATGAATATTATTCAACTATTACTGAGTGGGGGCCGTACCAAAGGTTTACGTGTGCACGGTCCGAGGAACATCAGGTTAAGTTAGGACCTAGACCTAAGAGTAACCTAGGAATAAAAAGGGTGCCCTTTTGGGGGTAAAGGGGGTTATAAGGGAACCTAAAGCATACAAAAAGGGAATAAGGGCCTACTCTAGGTCCTAGGGACTGAAGCTGAAGGCTGAAGGATTCGCTGCTGACGGGGTTGCTATGGGCTTTGCTGTGCGCGCTGGGTCTAAGCTTATCGCGTAATGTAACATGTTCAACCTACTTGTCTGGTATCATTCGGAACTAAAGGTTCAGCTTTTTGGTTATATAGAGATTATATAGGGACTATACTACCCAAAAAAGGCTAAAGGTTACCTACTCCACTACTAGGTCAATAGCAGCAGCAAGAGCAACCAGTCGCTGGCAGAGCCAAACAACACTGGCACTGGCAACCCTAAATCCTAAACTGGAACATGTCCAGAAAAACACCTCGAAAGCTGAGGCCCTAAAACCCAACCCCTAAACCTGCCTGCAGACCAATATCCCTTGACATTTCGGGCTTCTCATTATCATGGCTTCCTTATGCACTTCCATAAAAAAAGGTCGGGTTTTGGGGCCGACAGGTAGAAAAGTCTGGTCTCAAACCGCGCCTCGAGGGCACGGGCGACGGCGGACCCTGGGCGAACGTTCTTGGATGTGTTTAGGGTTGAGGGCTTAGAGTTCGTTTAGGGTTTAGGGTTTGTTTAAGGTTTGGGGTTTGTTTAGGGTTTAGGGTTGGTCTACGGTTGAGGGTGTAGAGTTTGTTTAGTGTTTAGGGCTTGTTTAAGGTTTGGGGTTTGTTTAGGGTTGGCTTAGGGTTGAGGGTGTAGAGTTTGTTTAGTGTTTAGGGTTTGTTGAGGTTTGAGGGTTTGTTGCGGGTTTAGCGTTGGTTTAGGGTGTGGGGTTTGTTTAGGGTTGAGGGTTTGTTTAGGGTTTGGGGTTTGTTTAGGGTTTAGGGCTTGTTTAGGGTTGAGGGCTTGACCTAGCCAAGCAGTAGCACTGCAGCATGCCCAAACCCGTTCTGCGCTGACAGGTCATCAAGAAGGACGAAAGCGCAAAACCGGCACTGAAGAAACCTGAAAGAACGTTGCACATGAGTTCACCTGAATTTGGGAGCTTTAAACTTAGGCCGCATCCCCGAATCCAAAGTGTAATATGAAAGCAAAGCTTCTCGCTGCGGAAACACTGCAGAAACCGTTCCGGGCTTAGGGTCAGCTTCAACTGACGCTGTTCTGCTAAATCTCTTCGGCTGGCGCCAACATGCTTCTCCAGCAGCCGTTGGCTTCTTCTGCTTCGGCCCTTCCACACGCATGCCCTTCCGATGCTCGGCGCCGTTCGCTCCGAGCATGTAGATCTCATAAGGCATGGGGAGAGGGAGGACCCATTGCTCGTCTTCTTCTGCAATATCACTGGCAGTGTTTTTCTTCCTGAGCCACTGTTGCTTCGCTTCTTTGACGTCAACCCCAAGCTGCTCCGGCCCGTGCTTGATCCATCTCGAGAAAGGCCTGTAGACCCTTCTCTCCAGTGCCAACTCGGGCAATGGAATCCATCCGCTCCAACTAGTGGCCCAGGTCAAACTTGCCCCTCGGATGACCTGGGCCCGCAAAGCCTGAAGACTATTGCATGCTCTTCCCTGCATAGCCTGAACCTACATGACAAGTCGTCAACTTTTCCAAAACAGGAGTCCCATCTACACTTGGAGCATCGTGGGACTTAGTAGGGTGATAAGTACCTTAATTGGGGTTATCAGTAGCTATAAGTATAGTTACCCTAGTCATAACCGTAGTTGCTAAGTCCCATCCTTGTTGTCGGGTATCATGGGGAACTAAAGGGTAACCTTTTTGGATATACAGGGATTGTATAGGGGCTATACTACCCAATAAAGGTTAAAGGTTACCTACTCTACTACTAGGCCATGATCCTTTAATAGCACCCGCCACAACCATCCGCGATACCTCCCAAACGAAGTTTAATGAGCCTTTGAAAGCCTTGGAAGAATAGGATGCCTGGGCCCAAAACCCTCAACCTATGACAAAGAACTCTGCCGCCGCTAAACCCGCAACCCTAAACCTTAAACTTGAATCAATGAAACCCTCAACCACTAAAGCCGAAACTTGGGGCCCTAAACCTGAAACCCTAAACCTTAGACTTGAATCAATGAAACCCTAAACCCTAAACTTTAGGCCCTAAACCTGAAACCCTAAACTCAAAAGAGGGCCTCCTTGGCCTCTTTGACTTCAACTCGGTAGATCCACCTTGGGCAAAGAGGGGTCTCAAGAAAGGGGCTGCGAAACTTAAAGGATCATGGGACTTAGTAACTAGGGTTGTGACTACGGCAACTATACCTATAGCTACTGATAACCCCAAGTATGTACTCATAACCCTACTTACTAAGTCCCATGATCCGCCAAGTAGACCCTAAACCCGAAACTAAACCCTAAACCCCTATAGATCCCTTTAAGGAACCCTATAGATCCCTTTCAGGTACTCATAACCCGACTAAGTCCCATGATCCTCCAAGTTTCGAATCTGGGAACTTGTGGGGTCTTGGTTAGTCCAGGGAGTTTGAGGGCTCAGGGATTTACGGTTTGGGGTTGAGGGTTTCGGGTTTGGGGGTTGAGGGTTTTTGATTTAGGGTTTGAGGGTTTGAGGGTTTGAGGGTTTGAGGGCTGAGGGTTTAGGGTTTGGGGTTTAGGGAGCTTCGAGATTGAAGCTCTGCCCAGAGAGTCCAGCATCCGGGCGTTGTAAGCATCGGGAGCTGAATCCAACCTACTTCAAGCAAGCTCATCTGTGGCATATTTGGGTTTGGAGCAACGGTCAGGGGGCCTGAGCAAGAGCTTTTGATGCAAAGAGTCGGAAATGCCGGTCGTATTCGGAAGAAGGTATCGTGAAGAAACCACCATATCTGGAGAAAGCTGAGCCAAACCTAAGCAGCAGAGACAATAGTGGTCATCGTCATAATCTCCTCCTCAGAGTTTCAAACCCGGAAGGTCATTGTGGCACTGTCTGGGAGCGGACAGAAGAGGACCCCTTGCACTCGCGCTCCCTGTTTAGCCAAAACAAACATAGCATGTCGAACAATCCTTCGGAGTTTTGCTGCAGTAAACACATATAAAGAACTCCCAAGAGCACCGAAGTGTAGAGGGACGTTGCATATTCCGTCTTGATAAGGAAGAAAGAGCGAAAACTCGTGACGGGCAGGCAGTCTCTCAGTCCAGAACAAGGCGGATGCAATGAGAAGTGTCTGCAAACAAGGACCCCAACCTCGAATGCTCTTGAACGTTCGCCGACACACCCGGAAATCCCAATCCTGGGGCCCTAACACTCTGTATATCAAACTTTACACTTTACACTTAGCCAACCCAAAATGACTAAATGGGAGGGAACCTAATATAGTACCCTGAATACTGGGATCCTTATTATAATGATCCCCAAATAAGGCGGACCCCTAATTTTCGGAAACTCTCAAACCCTAAACCCTTTAAAGGAACCCTTCTAGATCCCTTGAAAGGAACCCTTATAGATCCCTTTAAAGGTCCCACCCCCTAATTTTCGGAAACTCCCAAATTGACCCAACCGCCACGAACCCAAACGCAAAACTGGGAGCTCCGAGGCCGCAGGCGTGCTTCATTCATGCTACTGCTTGGAGGTTCAGAGGTAGTTATAAGGGTTTAAGGATCCCTTTAAAGGGATCTTTAGGGATTCTATAAGGGTTCCTTTAAGGGTCCCTTTAAAGGGATCTATAGGGATTCTAGAAGGGTATAGGGTTTAGGGTTTACTTGGAGGTTCAGAGGTAGTTATAAGTGGGGTTATAAGGCCCCTGATACGGGTTGTAAGTATTAGTCACCCTACTTATAACGCTACTTATAACGACCTATGAACCTCCAAGTGAGGCTTAGGGCGCACCTTCACGGTTACCTCGGGCCGCTCGCGTGAGGAATCTTAAACTGAATCGAGAACCCCTCATATCGTGCACTTCCTGAGCTGCCCGGCGAAGACCAGTCGATGCCCCCGTCCTGTCTAGCTCTGGGGCTTGACATGCATACGGACATGCTTGCCTACAATCATACATTCATGCATGCATACTTAAAGAATCGTGGGACTTAGTAACTAGGGTTCCGACTAGGGCAGCTATACATATAGCTACTTATAGCCCCAATTAATTACTTATAACCCTGCTCACTAAGTCCCATGATCCTCCAAGTACATACATCACCTCAGGAGCCGCAAACAGGAAATCAACACAGCTGTACTTCTGCAGAAGGAGGCAGGAAATCTTTTGCCGCAACTTTCGAAATCACTTCTGTTTGCGTTTCCGATTCGATGCCTTCTGTGGCAATGTCGAGCTCCGATGGGCGCACTTGCCTTCTTGCCATGTTGCCAAACAGCTGTGACTTCAGCCTTACCAATCTTATACCAATTGCAACCAAACTCATCCTCGCAGCTCGAAGTCTGCCTCTGCAGAAGTAATCCCTGAAAGGTAAACCTACACTGTTAGACCTGAACCACCCTGAACCCTAAACCCTAAAGGCCCTAAAACTGAGACCTACGGGCCCTAAGCCCTAAAGGCTCTAGACTCTAAACCCTAAACCTATAACTAAACCCTAAAGGCCTCAAACCCTAAACTGTAAACCCTAAACCTATAAACCTATAAGCCCTAAAGGCCCCTAAAGCCCAAAACCCTAATCCCTAAAGCCCTAAACCCTAAAACCCTAAAGGCCCAGAACCCGAGACGCCCGTCCTCGGCCTGGGTCTCGGTACCGCTGCTGGAGCCTGCCCAGACCCCCGGGGAGGATCCAAAAAGTAGATCCCTTAAAGGGGTGTTCCTATAAAGTACCCTTTGTAGTATAGGGCGCCAAATTCGGAGATCTACTTTCTAGATCCTCCCGGGGGTCTCGGTGGCCGAGCACAAGAAAGGGCTTTAGCGCTTCGGCTGCAGACTTCAAACTTATGACAGTATGTTATTTTCTACAATGAATGTTGTACTGTAGTCTATTCTATCATATTTTGTTAGCTATAGCTATAGGACATATATATATATATATACACATACACTCATATTCTGTGTTATATAACATTCATGCTTTAGCGCTGTGGCTTCAGGCTTCTAACTTTTATATCACACACAACTAAGCGTGTGTCTGAGTCGTACCTGACAATGTTACACTATATTATATTGCACTATATTATGTTACGTATGTTAAGTTTTGCAATTAATAGAGTAATATATTCTGTTAGATTTAACTAGGTATAGACATTCTGTATCATATAACGGTGCGTCGGGGATGTTTGGTTGAAGGCTTAGGGGTCAAAAAGCTGCAACGGAGCGCCACAAGTTGGCTTCAGGCTTTGCATTATGGACGCCGTTTCGAAATGTCAATGGCTGAGAGGTGTCGACTGTTTCGATGCGTGTGAGGTCTATAGTTCATACCGTCATAGACCTCTACTCTACAGCCCAAACTGTGAGAATGCACGGCCAAAACCTTTGCTCCCTGCTGATCTTTTGCACTCGACTGCTGGAGACGCTCGGTTAGATGGCCTTGGTGCGCGACGCGTGATAAGCGCTTGATGTAGCTGGCTTGCGTCTATCTACCTCGTGCTGGCCCCAGTACAAAAAAACTGCAGCAACTAACAACCAACCGTAAACCCGAACCGGCCTAAAGCTAAGTAGGGCTAAGCCGACTCTGCATGCTCAAGATCCCTGCAACTTCTCCTTGCTTGAGGGGGATGGGAGTCAAAAACGGAACACCGAAATCTGTAGATCTCAAATCCCTAAACTCCAAGAATCCCATAGAAGCACGCTGCTTACAGACTATTTATTCACCAAGAGATATTAGAGTTCATAGATTGAGGAGTCAAATGCCCTTAGGAAACTCTACGAAGAACCTCCCATGAATGGAGACATGACCCCCACACCCGAAAGCCCACCCAAGAAGTAACGTTAAACCCTATGACTTTGATGTTAACAGTCGGGGACGTTGGTTGTTGCAGAGTGTAACAATCTGAATAATTAGCAACAGTGCCTGGTAGTCCCTGTATCAGTTTTTTTCCAATATACCACCAAAACCTTCCTTGCAAAGGTCCCTATAGCAAAGAACCCCCCTGAGGAACTGTAAAGGAACCCGACTGTCTATCTGCCTTTCAAGCCCACCCGAAACCCTAAACCCAATCTGTGCTCAAGGCCATTGTTAAAGGCCCACATACTGATTAGCAGATATATCGGCGCCTGAGGAAGATGCGTCTGCAATGCCATCTGGCGTCTCCTCCCGGAAGATGTTTAATTTTGGGGCCTCGAAGATGAGAGTTTTGGGGTCTATTACGGTATGACTCTTAGCGGCTGAGTTCATAAGCCCCTAAAAAGTGTACACTTTCAGTTTTGTAGTGGGTAATATTATCCCAAAGAGTGTAAAGTGTATCCACTCAGCTACTAAGTGATTGTATGGGGACTAAGCGGGACATCATCACGAATGATAATTCCGACGCCGGACAAGACTGCCTCTTTTCCTTCTTCCGCTGTCGGCGGTCGGAGCTGGAAGACCTGCTCGAGCCGGCAGCAGCGCTTGCCGCGCGAAGAACTGGGCTGTTCGCGTGGACTTCGCCGTCAATGTTTCCCTGGCGCGTACACCTTCTAGGCATGCACTCCATGGGAGGCAGCCTTGCTCCCATCGCCGGTATGCTACACATCGAACCCCACGTCGATGCTGCTGAAACCCATGCGGCGTGGGGGAGAGTGCGGGATAGCTCCAGATTGAAGTTGGGGGTGCCACTGGCCGCAGCGCTGGCACCGATAGGATTGCTTCGCTCGCCTTTCCTTCCGGCCAGTTTTCGGGGGTTTGAGGGTTACGAGGCATGCGAAGCGTTCGAGGAGTTCGCCTGCCAACTGCTTTTGCGAAGGTCCGAGCCCTTCCACAATCCAGCAGTCTGTAGGGGTCTCGGGGTTTTGGGGTTTAAGGCTTGAAGGTTTCAGGGCTTGGGGGTTTAGGGTTGAGGGTTTTAGGATTTTGGGGGGCACAATATGCTTGCTACATAGAGGCTTTAGTCATTCGAACAGGGCTTTGCACGGGGTGCAGACATGCAGAGTTCTAAGAAGCAACCCATTAACTGGTAGCTAATCAGGCTTCCATAATATTGCACGGCGTGATATACTTGGAGGTTCATGGGTAGTTATAAGTAGGGTTATAAGTAGGGTAACTATACTTATAACCCGTATTAGGGGACTTATAACCCTAGTTATAACTACCCATGAACCCTCATCGAAGCTCCCTGCCAACCCTGTGCTCTCCTATAGGTGGGTTCGGGGCGTAGTGCTTTAGATTTAGGATCATACAAGGCCTAGGATGCTTTCGGGCTTAAACTTAATCTTCATCCTGAACCATAAATCTAAGGGCCGAAGTGCTAGTGTGAAGGTTCATGGGATTAAGCTAAGAGTTGGCGCATGTTGTGGGGTAAGCACCAGCAGCAGAGCCTTAGAAGACAGTACTGTGGTCCTCTTGGTAATCAGGGGTCCGAGCGCCCAAATAGTAGGGTTCCAGGTACCAAAGACCATTCAGAGCAAAGTATTTGCACCCTAAAAGCCAAATGTGGGTACTTGGACCTTTAGGTTGCTAAATCACCTATGCTTTCGCTCCGGGAGGAGTGTAGACCTAAGTATGCTACTTGGAGTATCATGGGACTTATAAGTACCTTAATTGGGGTTATAAGTAGGTATAACTATAGTTACCTTACTTATAACCCTACTTACTAAGTCCCATGATCCTCTGAGTAACCACCCAAAACCCGGTGAGCCACAACGCCAGACCTCGAAAATCTTCCGCCGACTCAGAAACCGGTGCCTCTAAACTTCCTATAGAACCCTCACAGGAACCGCCACACAACCCTCATAAATCGTTTATGGAACCCTTTCTAAATCCCCAAAACCCGAAGTTGGAATGATCCATCCCTCTCAATAGCTCTAACAACAAGTAAGAACTTCTTACTCAGTCAAACGACGGAGTTTCAGATAATTGGGACCCCTCCTAATCGCAGGATCCGCAACTTACGGAATCCTCAATCAACTTGCCCAGACCTCTCATCCGCTATCTTACTTTCCCCTTTACACACCGCAAAACTCTGCACCCCGAACCCTACACCCTGAACCACAAACCCCATAAAACTCTACACCCTAAGCCCTACACCCTACACCCAAGACCCAAAACCCTGAACGATATAAAACTCCACACCCCAAGCCCTACACCCTCAACCCTAAACCTTAAACCCCATAAAGCTCCGCACCCTAAGCCCTACACCCTCCACCCAAGACCTGAAACCCATACAACCCTGCACCCTCTTGGCTGACTTCTGGACCCCTCCTAAAAGTTAAACTTTCAGCCTCCTTATTATATTATAGCTAATATAGAAACCCAAACATTTTAAAGTCCTAAGAGCCAACCAGAAGAACGCCAAGTACACCCCATAAAACCCCGCACCCGAAGCCCTACACCCTAAACCCAAGACCCAAAACCTTAAACCCCATAAAACCCCTTAGTTGGGGTTATATGTAGATATAATTATAGTTACCTTACTTATAACCCTACTTACTAAGTCCCATGATCCTCTGAGAAACCACCCAAAACCTGGAGAGCCACCCTGGTTCAAAACCTCGGAGCTGAAGACCGTGAAACGGGGATTTTCCCGCCTCTTCCTGCTCGCGACCTGTACTTGGAGGTTCAGGGGTAGCTATAAGGGTTCCTTTACGGGTCCCTTTAAAGGGATCTGTAGGGATTCTATAAGGGTATAGGGCTTAGGGTTTACTTGGAGGTTCGGGGGTAGCTATGAGTGGGTTATAAGGCCCCGGATCTGGGTTATTAAGTATATATAGTTACCTTGCTTGTATCCCTATGGCCTCTAAGGCTTGGAGATTACTGTAGGAACCTGACTCAGAAACCTTGGGTCTTTCTGAGGGTTCTTAATATGGATCCTACTATTTTGGTGCTACAGGGCCAGGGTTTCCTAATTCAAGGTTTCTTAATCAGGTTCCTATATTAGGGTGGACGGTTCGGAGCTCCGTTACTCTCAGGGCCCCGATGCGGTGACTTTGACAAGTCTTGTGTGGTGTTGGTGCCCGCCACGAAGGGGTTGAGGGTTGTAGGGTTTTTGGGTTTAGGGCACCTTGTTGAAGCCCAAACCGTCTAGAGTCTCGGCAACGTATGCCCGAAGAATGCACGCGTAAGACTGCGACCCCCCCCCCCGTGTGTGAGCAAAACCAGGTCTATTTGGAAGCTGCTTATTAAGGCTTTTATTTGGGGATGTACACTTAATTTTGTGTCTGATACGAACAAGGCCTCTGGCAAACAGACTCGGTGGGTGTTGAATTGAACAACTACGGAAAAATCAAAAAAATGAAAAAATAAAAAGATCCAGGGTGCTCCAGCAAGGAGGATCAAAGGCTCCAGGCCGCAGGCACCCAGTATCCGGGAGAGAGTGCGTTCTGCGACTCTGATTGACAAAAAGTCCATCCGAATCTCGTCGCAGTGCGACAAAGTGCTCGTTGAAGCAGATCACAAAGTTCCCGCTCAAGCCGATAGCATGTGGGGACACTGCAACAAGGCAACGCCTTAGATGACTTTGGTGGACGTTTCACAACAGAACGTGGACACGCCACAGCGTCACATTTGCAGCACAGACACCCGTAGGGAGCTAGAAAACGATTACCGTCAGCTTGTGCCCAGAAGGGGCCATGGTCCACATACGGGATCTTGTACCCAAAACATCTGAGTGTGTTGATCAGGCATACGTCCTCGAAGACTCCATTCTGTCCAGCAAGGCGCGTGTCACATGTACCGTGTTGAATCTGCCCTAAGACCCCCCAGGAATTACTGAACGGCAGCTTCCAAAGCCCCCCCCCCCCCCCCAAAAAAAAAAATGATAGATTGCAATCGTACGTAGCTCTGATATTTGAACGCTCGCCATGCCGATAGCTCAATATCACGAAATCTCGGAAAACCCTTGTACCGTTAAACAAGGCCCGCACAAAAGCCGGCAGACCGAGTTGCAGAGATAACGACACCATCAAACAAACTCTCAGACCCTGAACCCCAAAACTCTAAACACGAAATCCCCAAACCCTAAGCACTACCTTAACCCTGAAGAGCCTACCATTTTTGGGGTTCCCTCTTATGCTTTCCTTATACAAGTCCTTAAAAAGGTAGGTTCTTCAAGGTTAAGGTAAACCCTAGAAGCCCAAACCTTAGACCTCACCAACAGCGCTTTCTGTGCAGTTGGCCTCCAACGGTCCCCGGGTTCTCAGCTACCGGCTGCGCCTCTTCCGAGGGCTGGGCAGTTCAAGCTTTTAGCGTGGTTTAGGCTAGGATGTCCAGTAACCTAGGAATAAGAAGGGCTCCCTTTTTGGTATTGGGCAACTTTATCAGGAACCTAGGACTACAAAGAGGGAATGGGGGTACCTCAGTACCACTGGGCATCCTAGCGCAGTGTGGTTCCGGGTTTTTGTCGAAGGGCTTGTTGGGCTCTTTCGATTCTTAGAGATCTGGGGGGCTTTCTGAGGGTTTGGGCTTGGGGGTTTAGGGTTTCTGAGGGTCTAAGGATGCAGGGTTTAAGCCCTCAAGCCCAGTTGTGGGTTTCGAGGTTTGACGTTCATCTTTTAGGCTGTTGGAGCATGAAGCTTGATGGGTGTAGAGATATGGGGGGGCATATTGAAACCCTAAACCCTAAACCCTACATATTGGTACTTATTTAGGCCCTTATATCAAATGCAGTACACCACGGAGAACTTCTTTGAAGGCTTACAGGGGCGTGGGGTTCGGGGTTCATGGGCGTTTAGGTTTCGTTTTGAAGCTTATGGACAGACAGCCAGTCAAAACAAACAGAGAGGGAGGGGGAGAGAGAGAGAGAGAGAGCGAGAGAGGGAGGGAGGGAGAGAGGGAGGGAGGGAGAGAGAGAGAGAGCGGGAGAGAGAGACGGAGGAAAAACACAAATTGAGATGGAGAGCCCTTGTTAAGAAGGGCTTGCGGTAGGCGTGGGTGCCCTCAGGCTGAACTAGCAAGCTTCTTATGCCGTGGTTGGCCCCGAAGCTCTCTACCCCTAAACCTTAAAATCCGTAATCCAAACCCGACATTGAGAACCACAAGCCCGCACTGTTACATCCGATACGCAAAAACCTAAACTCTGCACATCCAAGCCTGAAGCCCCGAATGCTGAAGTCGTTTTTAGAGCCCTACACCAGACCGCAGCTCTGGCAACTTCAGCATAAGTGCCTCGAGCCGGCCTGTCATTCGCACACCACACCTCAGCGGATTTAGGATTCAGGGTTTAGGGTTTCGTGGGCTTTAAAGTGTAGGTTTCAAGGTCCAGGGTTCACAAGCTTTGGCAGTTTAGGGTCTTCTTGGGCTGAGCTGCAGACAGGCTACCGTAGGCGAAAGCAGAGGAGGAGGAGGCGGAGGAGGAGGAGGAGGAGCCCGCCCTATCTTCTACAAGCTCTAAAACCCTAAACCCCTAAACCCTAAACCCCCAAAACCCTGAACCCCTAAAGGCAAGCAGGAAGCCACCAACATAAAACAACACGACCAGAGAGCCGCCACATCTCCCTGAGTGTCGCCTCTCGGCGGTGGAACTAGTGTAGGCAGTTATTTAGCCCCCTTGGAGGTTCATGGGCAGTTATAAGGGTTCCCTTTAAAGGGATCTATGGGGCTTCTGTAAGGGTTTAGGGTTCATGGGTAGTTCTAAGTAGGGTCGGTGGCGCCGTGGCGCGGACGATGAGCTCCCGAAGTTCTTTCGCTGCGGGCGACTGCCCCGGGCGCAGTCTCCTTACACTAGGTTCCTGAGCAGCCCTCTTAAAGACTTCTCAGAAGGGAACCCCAAGAAAGAGGACAAAAGGGTATTGCTCAGAAACCTACTGTTGATGATATAAATCCTGCATTACCTTAAGGGCCCTAAACTATGGGAAGTATTGTATACTCCTTATTAAAGGTAATGCAGGATTTATGCTTAGTTGCTGAGTTCATAAGCCCCCCAAAGTGCACACTTTCAGTTTTATAGTGGGTAGTGTTATCCCCCAAAGTGTATTGTGTATCCACTCAGCTAGTAAGTTATTAGGGGTAATGCAGCATTTATGCCATCCATCGTAGTACAGCAAGTTTCCTCGTCTTCGGCTCGGAAAGTCCAGTACTGAGGTGGCTCTTCGGACCCCACTTCAAAGCGGGGAATATGATACTATGTTTGTAGTAAGGAAGCCCCAGGACAGTATAGGTAATTATTATCCTAAACCCTAAACCCTAAACCCTAAACCCTAAACCCTAAACCCTAAACCCTAAACCCTAAACCTAAGGCCCCTACAGAATCCAAGCGCGACATTTCCGAATATCGCCCAACTTTGGGTTGAGGGTTACCTCGACCCCCCAACTACCCCTTATTGTAGCCCCTAATGACCTCTTCATGAGAAATGTTCGAGCCCTTTAAAGGGTACTTGGGGGGGGTTCTCTTATAATGTAGGGACCTGAAAAAGAAATCCTGGGCCTATACCACCAAAATAGTAGGATTCATATAAGGAACCCTAATAAAGGCCCAAGGCTTCTTAATCATTCCTACATTATATTACCATTACAGACCCCTTATAGTAACCCTAAACCCGAAACCTCAAACCCTAAACCCCTAAAACCCTAAACCCTTAAAGACGCCCTTTATCGTAAGCTTCCTAGAGGAAACCTGAAAAACGCACAAAAAGCAGAGCGTCGGACACCACCTGACAGTGAAGAGCCCCTCGCACCTGAGCTCTCGTGGCTAAGTAGGGGGGAATAGTATATATGTATAGATACCTTTATAGGGATCTATAGGGAATCATAAGGAATATACTTTATAATATTCGAAGATCCCTAACATGATTTTGAAATTCAGGGAACGCGAGTTAGAGTTTAAGGCCAACAGTGCCTGGGTGTTGAGCGCTTTGAAGGCTTCCAACAACGGCTTCCAGGTGCAGGGGTTGTATGGTGCCGGCCCGGATTTTGGATGCCAATGCCTAAACTTAAACTATACCCCCCTTAGATCCAAAATAAAAATAATATTTCGAATGGTCTCTTGGGTTTCATATGAACAAAAATAAAAAGACTTCCTAAGGAGACTATAGTCAACCCTCAAAAACCTTTTTTGCACCGAGGCAAGACTTGCAAGGCTGTTCGTGAGGGTCAACCGTGCACCCGACCTTACATCCTCAATCCATGTGTGAAAGGTGTTTTAGAACCCTGTAAGGTAACCCCAAAAAGGAACTACTCTGGGGCCTTAGGGTAGTTTCTGTCTCTCGGCTCTCGATATTTCGTCTTACATTTGGGTGGTTGTCAAAATTATTGTCCCTTTTTGGGTCCCTATTATGACAACTACCCATGTGTGAAAGGTGCAGGGCTTTGCGCACTGATGTCCTCAAGACGGCGTAGGTTGCTGAATCCCTCCTCATCTAGAACCTCCTACGCCCCGAAAAAGACCTTCGTAGATCTTTCCTACAACCCAAAGTACCCTCATAGTACCCTTTATAGTATATTCCTCATAATAACAGCATTGTACCCCTACGGAGACGAAGTGGCTGCTCCCACTCCTTCTCCCCTCCTGTCTCACCCAAACTTGGAGGTTCATGGGTAGGTATAAGTGGGGTTATAAGTCCCCTAATATGGGTTAGAAGTATAGTTAGACTACGTATAACCCTATAAGTCCCCCTAGTATGGGTTAGAAGTATAGTTAGACTACTTATGACCCTACTTATAAATACCCCTGAACCTCTAAGAACGACCAGGCCTGCTTGCTGCACGGCTTCTGTAGGGGCTTTTATACGGCTGCACAGAGGAAACGGAAGCCCTGAACCCCTGAACCCTAATATCCCTAAGCCCTAGACCCAAATCCCTAAACCCTGCGCCATGAGGTCCTCTTAACTCGTGAACCCAGCCCCAAAACACCCAAATGAAATTTCAAGCCTTTGAGCCCTCTCGTAAACCCCTGAACCCTGAACCCTATTAGCCCTGAGACCCTTAGTTATGAAGGCCCGCAGATGAAGGGTCTCCTCTCGGGATGACGCCGCGCCTGCAACAAGAGCCGTGGAACCAGGACCTGCGCTTGCGGGGTTCAGCTCTTGGAGTTTCGGCGTTTAAGGTTCCGTTAATCATAGGTGTCCTTTACCCTGCTGCTTCGGATACGTGCTGCTTCGCTTAAGCGTGCTGTCTCAGATTTTGTCAAACGGGCACTGCACGCACGCACGCAGCTGAGACGGCATGCAGAAGCGAAGCAGAAGGCCTTCGAGACAGCATGCTATTGGCCGGCTATGATTTAAAGCGAGACGTTAAGGGGATCCAATTGGGGTTTTAAAAGGGTTCAGGGTTTGTGGGTTCAGGGTTTGCGGTTGGTTACGGAGTTGTAAGGCTTCAGAGTTTAAGGGTATGTAGTATGTAACTTGGGTTAGCGTTCAGGGCTTCGGCGTTCGGGGCTTCAGGTCTGGCGGTTTGGAGTCATGGCTTTAGGCTCTAGGGCTTAGGGTTGTAGGGTCAGTTTACACATTGTGGCTCAGACATCTGGTTTTCAGCTGCTTTCAGGCAGTTCGAAAGCCGCTAGTAGCTGGTATGACCATCCCTACACCCTGCAACCCAGGCTTTTTTTGGGGGCCCTTTTTTTGCAAATATGTGCGGGAGCAGATGGAAGGCCGAGAAGCTCGGCACCTGGTTGTGTTTAGCAAGATGCAACAAGCACCCACTGCCGGGAGGCATAGGGTTTAGGGTTTAGGAGGATTTCCGCAAGATCACGTTCCGAAGGATCGGAGTTGCGCTCCTCACGCGGGTCCGTTGGCATCCGGGACGTCTCCTAAGGATTGGAAGGCCGGGCCGCAGCAGAATCGTCGATGTTCCCCGAGGACATCTCCCCAGGTCGGAGAGCGTCGCCGGCAATGCCTGAACCACTCCGTTGCCATAGGTGGCGTCGGATTCGGTTTCCTGAGAGGATCATGAACACCCACTCACTCTGCCGCACATGCCCCAGCGACTGTCATCCTTCCCACTGCTGGCTTGACGCCACGGCTCTTCTGTCCACAGAACGGGCTCCTCACCCCAGAGACGCTTGTACCTCCGCGTTGCTTCTGTACGCTGCCTGCTGCAGAGAGCAGGCCACAGGCCCGGACCGTGATACCGAGATCTCACCGCCACCTTGGCCTCCTCCTCCTTCGTTGTTTTCACGTGCTCAGCATAGTTATGGCACCAGTACTGCTCATTGGAGCTCCTCCACGCATCACGTAAAACTCAGTGATACTCTCGTGGCCTGTGTGGCCCAAGTTGGCCACGCGGTGAGCATCACATGCACAAAGATGTTGCGCAATGCAGCATATGATTCCAGCTCCCTGTCGGCAATCAAACACTGGATGACCCAGCTGACTACTAATTGTGGCGTATTATTTAAGAAAAGCTATGCCAACTCTATCCAACTCTAACTACTATGGCGTATTATTTAGCCCTTGTAAGAAACCTGTGCCAACTCTGATACAGCAGAAGCGAAGGTGTCTGGACCGCCTACGGAAGCTCATTGAAATCTGAATTCACACAAAAGGGCCTCCAAAGCTACCCTTTCCAAACAAAAACAACAAAAGACAAAACCCAACCCTCGACCCTGAACCCTCCTCATGTTCAGGGTTAAGGGATTAAAGGCGGCCCTTGGAGAGGCTTTGGGCGTAAGAACCTGTACCAACCCCCAATCGTACCTCAGCTTCGACGCCCTCTTGAGTGCAGCCTCAGGCGAGGAACGCACAATGAAACAAAGGTTCATCACAACTGTGTCAGCACCATACGGCTGGGCCACCCCCAAGGCCTGACGTGTAGGATTCAGGTAACGTAGAGCTTCGGGTGTAGGCTCGTGATCAACCCTGACTGCTGATAGGATCACTGCAAGGCTCCATCCGATTCGTGACCTACAATTAACATCTTGAATGCCTCGCATCTCTCAATTCGGAACAAAACCTGAGCCCAATGCCGCAACCAACTACGAATACTGTTACTCATACTCATCCTGATACTCACAGCAATCGAATAACGAATCCAAGTACGAATGCGAAAACATACACGAAACCGATACCAATATTAGCACTCAGCAATATTAATATTAATACAACCACGGGTACCAGTACTAGTGAGTATATCTATATCTATATCTATCTATCTCTCTCTCTCTCTCGCTCTCTCTCTCTCTCTCTCTCTCTCTCTCTCTCTCTATATATATATATATAAACACGAAAATGCAAATACAAACGTGAATCCTAAACATATCAACACTCACATGACTGTGCTTTTCATACGAACACCCGTCAACCCAACGCGGGCTTCTCCAAACACAGGGCGTCCAGAACACCTTCACTCCACAACGTTCTTCACTGGCTGGAGCTACAGCACTTGTAGAAGTAGCAGAAACAAGTCACGGTTGTGCCAGAAATCTGACTACTACAGGGGCCTTAATAATTAGAATAGGCTTTTGGGGCCCATTATACTATAAATATAAGACGAAACCTTCCGGGGGGCGGGGTTTGCTTGCCTACTACGTAGTTGCTGAATTCATAAGCCCCAAAAAGTGTATGCTTTCAGCGTTATGGTGGGTAATATTATCCCAAAAAATGTAAAGTGTATCCACTCAGCTACTACGCAACTATGGGGCCTGCGACGAGATTACCTGCAACTGTGGCGTTGTAAGAAGTCTGCCATTTCTAGCTTGTAACGTCGGCGTGATGTGTGACCTAGTTAGGGTGGCCCACTTCTACAGCCCACCTCGCTGTTGCTCTCCAGCAGACTCCTCAAATGCGACGAAGAAGCCGTCAGAGGTGAAATTCACCAACAACTGATAGACCTGTAGGCGAGGGAAGCGTGTTTAGGCATATACATATATACATATATATATATACTATATATACATATAGCATATATATATATAGATATAGATATAGATATTTACAATATATGATTATCATATAGGGTTTGAGGTTTCCAAGGTGTCAAGGCCTTGAACCAACCGACACGGGTGACCGCGGACCTTTAGAGACCAACCCACCAGGGCGACTACGGAAGAGACTGCTCCTTGGCTGTCGGGACGTTATCAGCGTCTGGGGTTTTTGGGTTTCGGGCTTCCAGCCCTTAGGGCTGAATATCAGGTTGCGGGATAAGTTAAGCCCCGTATGTCAGCCCCTACTTGGAGGTTCATGGGTGGTTACAAGCGGGGTTACAAGTAGGGTAACTATACTTACAACTTATATCCCATATTAGAGGACTTCTAACCCCACTTCTCGCTACCCATTAACCTCCAAGTAAACCCTAAATCTTACACCCTTATAGAATCCCTATAGATCCCTTTAAAGGGACCCTTAAAGGAACCCTTATACTACCCCTAGATTGCCCGCACTGGAGCGACTGTCTTTGTCGGCTCGTCTCGGACTTCAAGTACGGCCCCGTGAGCTGAAAGGTCTTGAAGAAGGCTTCCGGCTTTGAATCCCTAGACGAACTACGTTAATGTTGGTGCCTCAACAGTTAGACTAGGGTTTGGGGGTAAATTTTACTATGAGTTTGTGAAGGAACCTCAACACGCTTTTCCAATTAGCATGGCCCCTACATTATGTTGCGCCCTCCCAGGTCTTACAACTTAAGCACTGCCTCCGGGCTGTTCTAAGATTCAGATTTTCGGGCAGGGTGTGACAGACTAGGGATCATTTATAGACAGTCTTTTCAGCCCCCGAGTGCGAAACACTCAAATCCGGAATCCTTCAAAACGCGAAGTTCTGAATACCGAAGCCCGAAACCGTGCAAAGCCATGCCACAACGGCCGAAAGCTTGACCTGTCTTCAAGAATCCGAATCTTTGGTGAGGTTAAAAAAACGCGTGGGCCCTCTATGACTACCAACAAACCCTAAAGCCCTCTGCAAACTTAGAACCTTTAAGAACCAGACCCTATTAAACAGGCTCTACAGTCACCAGTGAGCCACGCCCGTATCTGACGTCTAAACCTTAGAAGCTGCCCCCACCCTGTAATAGTGACTATAAGGATTATATTAGGGCCCTATTATATTCCTAAATTATACCACTATTACAGGGTGGGGGCAGCTTCCAATCTAAACCCCTAAACCCCGAAACCCCTAAACTTTAAACCCTTGAGGAGCTCCCTTATAAGGGCTCCTTTAAACCCTGCAAGAGCTCCCCTTAAGTAGGGCCCCAAAAAAGCACATAAGCAAACATAAAGATAGGATATGTCAGATGAACCCCCTTTGAAAACAAGCCGAATAAGGTAGGGATATCCCCATAAAATGCTTATGCTTATGTGGGTATTTGTTGAAATTCAGGTCCCTTTTGGGGTACCCTGAATTTTAGGCGCTGTACTATAATAGGGACCCAAAAAGGGACCCTAATTTTGACAACCACCCATTTGGAAGACATACTATAAGTCGACTACTATAAGGGTCCTAAGTAATTGCCTGTACTATTTTTTCGGGGGGTTCCTTGTTATGATCATAGTATAATGGAGCCCAAAACCCTCTTCTCATTATTAAAGCCCCTACATACCCCCTTTAAAACAAGCCCAATAAGGTAGGGATATCCCCAGAAACCCTATCCCCATAAACCCTAAACCGCTTATGTGCTTTTCTAGACCCAAGAGCAAGCCAGTAATAAAAAGGGTGCCCTTTTTGGTTTAAAGGGGGTTATAAGGGAACCTGAACCCTTAAAAAAGGGAATGAGGGCCTACTCTGGGTCCTAGGCTTTTTGGGTCCCTAATTTAAAGGCACCGACTTCCCGGGGCCCCCGACGGCTGCGCTTAGGGCTGGCGCCCCGAGGGACTGCAGGGCTACGGCCCGACCTTGCCAGGAGCCAGGCTTGAGGGATTAATGGGTTTAGGGGTTTAGGGCTTTAGGGGTTAAGGGGGATTAAGGGTTTAGAGGGTTTAGGGGTTTCGGGGTTTAGGGGTTTAGAGGGTTTAGGGGTTCAGGGGTTTAGAGGGTTTAGGGGTTAAGGGGTTTAGGGGTTCAGGGGTTAGGGGTTTAGGGGTCAGGGTGTCTTAAGGTTAAGGGGTTTGGGGCCCGACCTTGGCTGTCTGGTTCTTTGTAGGGAATAGGGTTCCTTCAAGGGTTACGAGCCCTTCAAGGGTTACTATAAGGGTTCTCTAAGGGTTATACTATAGGGGCTTAGGGTTCTTTGTAGGATCCAGGGCCTATAACCCCAAAATGGTAGGATTAATATGAGGAGCCCTAATAAAGGCCCAAGGTGTCTTAGTCAGGTTCCTACTTTAAAGGTTTCGGGGTTAAGGGTGTAGGTTTTAGGAGTTAGGAGTTTAGGGTTTTGGGGTCTAATTAGGGTTTTAGGGTGCATAGGGTTTTAAGGTTCAGGGGTTTGGGGTTCAGGGTTGCAGGCTGTTTCTTTAGGGCTTCAGAGTTTGGGAGTGTAGGTTTGTCTTTATGGTTTGAAAAGTTTTTTTTTAAGTGGGCCTTAGGGTTTCATGTCTTTCTTTTTTTGAAGCATTTCACGGTTTAGACTCGGCCAGTTTAGGGTTTGGGATTCGGGGCGCATCTGAAGTTACAATGGACGCAACGCGTAACAACGCTTTATCTCAGCAAATAGTTAAGTGCGCTATCATGCTTTGTATCTCACTGGGTCAACAATCTGCCTATCCGGGTGATAAAACTTCCATGTCTAACTAATTGCGGTGATGTGCAGTTGTATACGCTATAAATAATAAACATGTAGTGAATACTAGGGCATGGCTGATAATATCCTGGTATTATCGTCGTTGTTCTGATGCTATATAATTACCCGTTGTGTTTCCACTACGACGTCACTACGATCCGATACGGTTACTTTTGCAGTAAATAGCTTGATGTACTGCTTGTGGTTCTGCCTGTGTGGCTGCAATCTATCGTCATCGGCCGCGAATATCTCGACCCGTTGTGGTGCTTGTTGTATCGAGAGTGTGAAAGCAGACCTGTGAGCGCTTCTGTCTCCGCATGCCTACATCTATGTATCCGTCGCAATGTGCATCTGTGTTTAAGTGCGTGCGTGCGTGGGTGTGCGTGGGTGTGCGTGGGTGTGCGTGGGTGTGCATGGGTGTGCGTGGGTGTGCGTGGGTGTGCGTGGATGTGCGTGGGTGTGCGTGGGTGTGCGTGGGTGTGCGTGGGTGTGCGTGGGTGTGCGTGGGTGTGCGTGGGTGTGCGTGGGTGTGCGTGGGTGTGCGTGGGTGTGCGTGTGCGTGGGTGTGTGCGTGCGCGTGTGTGTGTGTGTGTGTGTGTGTGTGTGTGTGTGTGTGTGTGTGTCTGTCTCTGTCTCTGTCTCTGTCTCTGTCTCTGTCTCTGTCTCTGTCTCTGTCTCTGTCTCTGTCTCTGTCTCTGTCTCTGTCTCTGTCTCTGTCTCTGTCTCTGTGTGTGTGTGTTCGTGTACATGCGTTTATGCATGTGCACATGCACGCATGTACGCAAATATGTACGTGTGCATGCATTGCATTAAAACGCAAAGCAACGTGTGGCATGCACACATGTATCTATCTTCGAAGTATGCATGTGAGAGTATACATGTCTACATGCATGCAGGCATGCAAGTACATGCCTGTATGCACGTATCTGTGCATCATATATGCATGTGTTCATGTATGAAAGCATGATCGACTGCATGCGCGTATGTATGAATGAATGGAAGAGTGAATGTCAGAGCCACTCACATGTGCGTATGTATGCATGTATGCATGCATGCAGCGCCTGTCTCTGTACATATCTGTGTATGCATGCACGCATGTAGGTGTTCATACATGTATGTGCATCTGCAATTATGTCTGAAATTGTGAAAATGGATGAGCGCATGTCTAGATGCACGTATGCATGTATGTATGGCTGGACACATGTATGTATGTATGTATGTACGTATGTATAAGCGTGCAAACGGATGGCTGGCTGGCTGGCTGGGCGGGTGGATGGATGGATGGATGGACGGATGGATCGACACCTGGAAACATGCATGTATGTATGAATGAATCAACGAACGAATGTAGACATGTAATGTAACGTAGTAATGTAATGCAAGGTAGCAATCAAATTTGACATAGAACTGCAAGGCAAGGCATGGCCTGGTCTCGGATTGTAGAGTCTGTCTGCGGCTGTCACACATACACACCAGAATTCAGGAGCAAGAAAAGCTGACAAAGAAAGATAGACGGCGCAGGCATACTGGGGGCAGCCAACCCGTGCACCAAACTGTTCCGTATGTATGTGTATATGTATATGTATATGTGCATATGCATATGCATATATGTATGTGTGTGTGTGTGCATATGTATATGTATATGTACATTTGTACGCATATTTGTATATGTATATGTATGTGTATGCGTATGTGTGTATGTACTCGGATGGGGAACAGCAGACACAAGTTGCATGCATGCATAAACATGTACACATGTCTATATGTATGTATACGTACGTACATCTTCCTATATGCATATGCACATACATAGATACACACCTGGATGCATACATGCATACATACACACACATATATACATATATACATATATATATATATGTGTATACACATATACATGTATATCTATATCTATGTATGTATGTATATATATATATATATATATACATAGATATATACATGCACATTGCGCACATTGAATGTGATGAGCATCACCTGCCGCCAATCTCCTGAAGACTACCACCCTGTACAAGCCCCAAAGCACCACAATGGATCAAACCACAAAGGCAATGCTCCAGGTTAAAGCCTCTGCAAACTTATGTCACAGAGGACTGAACCTAGCAAATGCCAACCTCAAGAGACCTCACAGGTAGTGCTTAGTGTTTAGGGTCTAGTCTAAGTTTCGGTCAAAACGGCACTGGACCCGATAAAGCCAGCAACGTCGAACCGTATCCCTTGAACCTACAACCGAAAACAGTCAAGCTGCGCCAGCCAGGTGGACCCCGAAATGGCCGAGCCTAAAATCAAATCAGGATTTTGCCGTTCTGGGCGTTCTTGGAAAAACTCTGATTTTGGGCTAAGGGTTTAGGCATACCGGTAGGGTTACGAGTTATTCTGATCCAAGGGTTTGAAGACGGGCTTTGCATCTAGGGTTTATGAAGAGCACGAACACGGCTCCGTTACGACCAATAGGGTTCGGGTTCGGGGTCTTTTGGGGAATCATCTTTGCTTTGGAAAAGCAAGAAGCAGCTACCTTCACTTGGGCTATGGGTGGCATCTGGCATCTGCCACCACCGTACTTGCAGCCTTACTTGGCCGCCTGACTCCTGATCCTAGCTGAACCCTAAGGTTAGGGTTTAGGGTTTAGGGTTCGCCCTTAGCCCTAAACCCTTCGCCCTGAACTTTGTAAGCTTTGCACCCAGGCGGGATCTATACTCTGTTCATTTGCTCGGCGGTTCAGGGGTCTGGGCTTTCGAAAGGGCATCCGGGAGGTGTGGAGAAAAGACTGAACTTCATCTTGAAGCGCTGAGAAGCAGGATGGTGCCAGCGCAACCCCCAAGATGAGTTGGCAGGCTGGTGCCCACCAAAGGCTCAAAACAAGATGGGCTTTGAGGCGCATTTTGAAGATCCCCTTCTCAGTGGTAAGTGGGAGTTTTGGTTCGTCTTTGAGGCAACGAGTGCAAGGACCTGAAGACTGTGAAGAGGATGCACATGACGGGAATGAAACAAAAAGGCGAGCGAAGCGAATTTGATGCTTCTGATGTTGGGTGCTATGGTTAATCTCGTTGTCCGGGTTGGTGACCGAGTACAAGGGCCGACCATTTCAGCAAGGAGAATGATCAAACATGCTATGGCGGTCATGAAACGTTATAGCCCAAGGTGGCGGGGGGATGCTTACTTGAAACTAATTACAATCAATCAAAACCCCCGATCCAAAACCCCTCCAAAACCCCTCATCCAAATCTGCACGCCGGCTTTCCCGTGGACTGTCGGTCGAGGATGCAGGTGTCGGCGACTGTCAGTGGTCACTCTGGCAACACGAGCGCGTACTGCCGCATGTTGCCGAGAGGAGGAAAACGTCGACAGCAGAACTACAACTGCTAACGTTCTAACACCAGGAGCGACCCTTAGCCGTAGCCTCTTCACCAGGTTCTCAGATTTGTACGGAAAACCTCAACCCCCAAACCCCAGAGCCTTCATATGAACCTCAAGCCATGTAACCCCTAAAGTTCTGTACTAACGTTTACCAAGGCCTGGATAAGGGAAGCGCTCCAAATGGGGTACACACCCTGTTGGTGCTCGGAGTGCTCATGGCGCTAGCGTGGTGAAGAGCTTGGATACGCATTACAGGGTTCTAGGTGACCTTAGCCCGACAACCTGAGACCCAAAACCGAAACCCAAAACCCCAACGCCCGCCCACAACCCTTCAGCTTCTGGGGCTGTGGGGTGCGAGCGAGACGATGCAGGCGCGGGCACACTTTTGAGGGGGTCGCCAAGCTTGGTCGACAAGCTCTCTCGCTAGTCTTTGTTGTATAATATAGGGTTTTATAATTAGAATAAAAGGCTTTGGGGCCTATGATACCTGATTTATGATACGGAACCCCCAAAGTAGTACGCGAACCAGCGCCCCCCTGCCGAGCACGCCTAAGCTAAACCCAAGCCCTAAACCCCCTGAACACTATACCGTAAACCCCTGTAGCCGCTCTAGCCCAGGACTCATAACCTGAAACCCTACCGATTTCTGAAATGCTGGAGTGTAGGGGGTTAGTCTTCTAGGGCTTCTGGATTTGAGGATGGAGGTTTAGGGTTTGCAAGTCGAGTCTAAGGTTTAGGGGCTTTGAGTTCTAAGGTTTAGGGGCTTGAAGATGCAAGTTCAGGGCTTCAAAGTCTAGGATTGCTATGGCTTTTGGGTTTGAGGATTTCAGGTTTGGGGCTTTTTCAAGTTCAAGCTTTATAAGGTTCTAAGACTCCAGGGAGGATCTAGAAAGCAGATTCCCTAATTTGGGGCCCTATACTACTAAGGGGACTTTACAGGAACACCCCCATGAAGGGATCTACTTTTTGGATCCTCCCAAGGGTCTGGGAAGAAGCGAAACCCTAAACCCAAAACCCTAAACCATAAACCCCTATGGTTGCCTTAATTAAGAAGCGAAACCCTCGAAATCGTCACCAGGTCTTCGGCCGGGTCCGGGTTAAGGGGACTGAGGATGCGACTTTACTACACTCTGACTTGCCCTTCACCATGGCCCAGCTTCGCTGGATCTGCCCAACTTCAATTCCCAGATGGGGGCTGCTGCAAGGCATGGTTTAATGTAGGAACCTGATTAGGCAACCTTGGGTCCTTACTAGAACTTACAAAGAAGGATCCAAATATATTGTTCCCTAGGGATCTAAGGACTCATATATTAAGGCTTTTGGGCCCAAACTATACAAGGCTTTTGGGCTATTTTGATCCCTAGGGGTTTAGTCCACAGTGGGCTGCTGCAAGGCATGGTTTAATGTAGGAACCAGATTAGGAAACCTTGGGTCAAAAGGATCCGAATATATTGGGGTTACAAGGCCAGGGTTTCTTATGGTTCCCTAGGGATCTAAAGGACTCATGTATTTTGGGCCCAAAGACCATACTATATAAGGCTTTTGGGCTATTTTGATCCCTAGGGGCTTAGTCCACAGCGAAGCTAATTGAATGAAATACCGGCGCCTGACCCGAAGTGGGCCTTTCCTTTGAGATGATATACACATATGCATATATATATATATATATGTGTATAGACACACATGCATATACACACATACATACAAGTATACATACATACATGCATACATACATACATACGTACGTACGCACAAACGGATAGAGAGACAGACAGACGGACAGACCACATACACATACACGAACACATACACACACACACAGACATACATCCACACATCCACACATCCATACACATACACATGTCCATACCCCTACCCCCACCGTACCCGTACTCGTACCCATACACATACACATCATCACCCACAGTCATATGCGTGCATGTACATACACACATGTAGATGTGTGTATGTATGTATGCATATATATACATATATATATATATAATACGTACATAGGGTTTGGGGGCTTGGGAGCGTGTGGCTGGGACGCGCAAGGTTCTGGAGTTTGGAGCTGCGGTTCCTATTTGGACTGTTGCACGGTGTGCAGTTTTAGGAATTTTCGGGCTGAGGGGTAGGTGGAGGGCTTCCATACCCTAAAAGGCCGGGTGAGATTTCTGGTGTCTCAATCTTGGCTGCCGCCACAATGCTGGGAAAAGAACCGAGCCGGCAGTTCGAAAGTAGGCCGGAAAAATGCACTCCCTCTACGCCCAGACACCCCAACTACCCTCTAGAATTGGAGCTAAATACATATTACAACGGACTCAAAAAATGCTGCATTCCAGGGTGCTTGGGGGTCCCGGAGGTTGCTTGAACTCACTCAGGAAGCATGATCTCTGCCAAAACCGTCATGCTGAGGGATTACAGGATTTTGTTTTTAAGCTCCTTTTTCGGATTAGGGTTTAGGCGTCCCATGCTTCCTGGTGCTCCTTGCTCGACCAAAGCGCCAGCAAAACTGGAATGGCCCAAGCTCGGATACACCTATGATGAAGATCGAAGACACCTAAGATGTAAAGGTCTGGAGTCTGGGGGTGTAGAGATTTGGGGTTAAAGGTTTAGGGGTTTAAGTTTCGTGCTGAGGGCTAGTATCTCGGGTTCAGGTTTTAGCTTAGGGTCTGCATGGAGTTTACTTCTAGTGGAAGGGTTTAGTCTTTGGATTTGAGAAATCTCTCATGTAAAGATGGAGAGGTTTAGGGTTCAGGGTTTAGAGTTGCAAGACTGCCTCAGACTCCCTCAAGGTTTGCCTGCCTGCCAAAAACCCCGAGCCTAAGCTCAGTATGGCATATTGGCATAGCATATTTTCAATCTAGCATAGTTCTCTGTGGTAGCTTATGCCCACAAACAACAATAATACGGTTGATGATATAAAAACGGCATTACCAATAATAAGGAATATACCATAAAATCCATAGTTGAGGGTCCAGAGGTAATGCAAGAATTATATCATCAACAGTATCATAACCCTGGGCCCTAAACGGTGCTGGAATTTCCGTGGGCCGGCACTGGGAGCAAGAGCACCGGAGCTCTGAAGACGTGTCCGGCAGCCTACGGCCGCCGGAGGGAACCCCCTGTCCAAGGGTAAAAGGAGGGACCCTTAACAAGGGTAGGATTCATATAAGGAACCCTAATAAAGGCCCAAGGTTTCTTAATCAGCTTCCTACATAAGGGCCTGTTATCGTAAGCTTCGTAGTCCAAGGGTAAAAGGAGGGACCCTTAACAGGACCCTAGGTATATACCCTTAGTATAGCCATTATATACCCATTATATAGCCCATTATAGGGTAGGGGTCTCCTTTTCCCCTTTGACGCTGATAAAGAAGCCCTAAACCCTAACCCCCTAAGCCTGAAGCCCTAAAGCCGAAAACCCCGAAAAGCTGAACGCCTAATGTAGGGGCCTTAATAATTAGAATAGGGCTCCTTTAAACGGGGTCTATTGGAGTTACTATAACGGATCTCTGTACTATAGGCTATAGGGGCCTTGATAAGTACAATTTGGGGTTTTGGGGCATATTATACTGTAGATGTAATAAGGAACCCTAAAAGTACTAAATCGCTCATTACTAAGGCCCCTATACTACCTCCTAAATCCTAGCATGTCGGGTTGTGGAAGCGACTATCGGGTCGGCAGAATGCAAAAATCCCTCACATCCAGCAGTGTTCCTGCAACTCTTTCGGGGGAACCCTCAAGAACAAGTAGAGCCCCTTAACCCTAAACCCTAAACCCTAAACCCTAAACCTTGTAGGAAGCCTTTTGGGCACCCTTCTAGGAAACCTTGTAGGAACCTGAACCCAAACCTAAAACACTCAAACCCAAAAGCAGTAAAACCCTCCTAAAACTTGAAGAAACCTTAAAGACCCTGGGATCC